TAAAATTTGATATCTTCTTTAGAGATGATCTTAGGCGCTCAAAATAGCAATTGGGTATCTTGACTATTTTGGGTACTGAATATCTATCTCTAAGCTATTTTTCATATTAAATTGTTATTTGTCGAGAAGAAGGAATGATTACTTACATGGAAGGATGACCCTTGTATTTTCCGTCATTGTGGAAGAGTTTTAGGCATTTTGAACGAGGCATAGTTACATGTGGCTTGTGTTAACAGGAAGGTGAACACCAACAAGAAAGGGCAGGGACTCGTTGAGACCTTGCTGGCAACCCTACACCGCCTTTCGTTTGACGCCATGGTGGCGCATGGCCAAGACATCAGCCACCCTCTACGCCAAGCTGTGAGTGCAAAACACCCACTTTTTTTAGGCTTTGTTTGGCTGCCAAATCTCTATGTGCATTACCCAACTATAGAAACTAAACATTTCTACTGATCCCTAAACCCCAAAGAAAATTCTATTCTAATTCTTGTCTAAGATTACTTTTTGAATAAAACCTTATCTAAGATTAAAAACTAATTCTAATCCTTGGCATTTAATTGTAATTTTTTAATATTAAATAGGTTGTAATAATTATTGTGTTTTTTTTGTTTGTAGGTTATATATTGATTCCCATAAATAATACAAATGTTATTTATCATTGATAGTTATTATTAAGTTCCCATAATAAGAAGGAGACTATTATTAGCACTTCAAAAATCTTATTTTACACTCCCCAAAAGTTTTTAATTATAGAAAGTTTAGAGTGCAAAATGAGATTTCTAGAATGCTAATAATAATTTCCAATAAGAAAAGTCATATATTATCATATAGTTTTCCTTGTGCGTTAATTTCTCCATATATATGTATATGCATATTACGTACATATGTATGTTTAGATACTATAGTTACGTACTGATATATTTGTACCCATACATTCGTACCGAAAGTTATGTACTATAACGTACCTAAAGTTATGTACCTATGAGTTTCTGTATAAGGTACCTAAATTTCTCCATATTCTTATCAAAACTTACAAACGATATTTCTGTACCTATGAGTACTATAAGGTACCTAAAGTTATGTCATGATACTTCTATACCTATGAATAAAATAAGGTACCAAATGTTATGTATAAATTGAATTTGTTTTGTTGTTGAATTTTTTTTAATAGTGAGAATTTGAATTTTGAATAAATTTTTATCTATTAATATGATTAGAGCACAAAATAAAAAAAAATAATTATGGATAGGTAAAGAATTTCGAATGGTAAGTTTATAAATAATAAATGTGCTATAATTACTTAAATATGGTAAGTTTTAAAAATAGGGACTTATATTAGATTTTGAAAATCATTCAGGTTAAAATCTAAAAACAATCTTATTGAAGCTTTAAAATCTAAAAGCCCCAAGTCTAAAACTTTAATTTGATTTGTTTTTTCTTTTGTATTTTCAATTAATCAAAATACAGTGGGAAAAGTGGCTTCTAAAGTGGCAAGAGCAAGGAGACATGCACCAAGACGAAGCTGAGCTGCTGGTGGAAACAATAAATCAAACCGCCGGCCTTTTGCTTTCAAACGGACTGTTGTTGTCCATTCCAGAGCATGAGCAACTTTTCAAGATCACCAACACAGTTTGCAACAAACTTCGCAGCTACCAAAACCAAAACCACAAGGTCAGAAATTTAAACCTATTTCTGCATTAGGGTTAACGCTTTTCCCCACGGTTTATGTTATCAGGCCGTTTTGATATTTTTTTTCGATTTAATGTTTCTCAGGTGAATGAAAACGGCGGCTACATCAAAGCAACTCAGGAAATCGAATTGGAGATGCAGCAGCTTGTTCAGATGGTGCTGCAAAAGCCTTTGGATGGTGCCATTGAATCTTCGATCAAGCAAACCTTTTTCGCGGTTGCAAGGAGCTTTTACTACTCTGCGTACTCGGACCCTGGAACAATCAATAGCCACCTTGCTAAAGTACTCTTCGAGAGAGTAGACTGATCGTTGTGTATAAGATTAGGCCACAGTGCAATGCCTCTTTTGGTCATTGCAATTGTACTCAGTTTAACCTGAAAAAGGAAGTAAAAATTAGTGATTGCGCACGTTCTTTGTTTTTCTGTGGTATCTGATAATTTCTCCTCAATAAAAAACCAAAGAAAGTGAAGTAAGAAAAAAAAAAAAAAAAATAGTGTTCTCTTTCACGATAAAACTTTAAACACTGTTTTAGGGTTTTATGGTGAAAAACACACTTCAAACGCAGCAATTGAACAATCCTTAGGCTCGACTATTATTACACCCCACATTATTTACACTTGATAGGTGAGAGATTTGTTATAGAATTTGATTCTGATTCTTGAAGTCTTACTAACATTAACAGTTGTCACGGGAGTTACCCTAGTTAAGCAAAAAAGGTATTCGACCTAATTCAACTGTCCAAGAATTATTTGCATTATGGGATTAAATGAGAAGCAAAATAATGCGTCATTGAGCCAGATCAATAATTACAAATTATAGAATAAATACATAAATAAAAAAGGACAGAAACACAAAACACAAAAGGAGATGGACATATCGAATGAGTGAAACATCGTTGTCTGTCCCGCAAACCCCTGTGGCAAACCAAATGAAAAATATCATAAGAAAATAAGTTCTACTTTCAACCAAATAAAAGGTAAAAGCAACCATGATTAGTGAGTAAACAAACTGTTAATTACGAGCTTAACTTGCAGATTAATACCAAAGCAAAAGTAGTCAAGACAAACACTTTCACACTCTCCAGGACAACGTCAACTCAAATCAAATCCAAACACGGAAAAAGAACTGAAGCATTGTTTGCTAATTTTTCGAAAACTCCAATCTCAACAAGGATGATATATGCGGTGGTTTGCACAAATGTGGTTACTGGACAAATAGGTTTTTTTAGGGGGTTTGAAATCTTTCAAACCTGTCGGTTTAATGGTTTCCTCCTACGTGTAAGCATATTAACAATGGCAGACAACATTTGCGTACAAATCCCATTTTAAAGTTCCTGGATTGGTCTTCACCCTAAGGTGGAAATTCACCGAATCTCACATCTCATATCTTAAGATCCATTATCAAACGAGGTAATGTACGTACGACTGTTGTAGATATACATGTAGAGCAAATTCTCTCCTACATGGCACATTATTATCTCAGTAACTAATCACGTGATTAATAGTGCAATGCAAAAGTACATATTCCCAATTCCGATTGTAGGGTAGAATCTCTCCTAAATGGCAGTCATATGACATCACGAAGTGAGGTCCTTTGAATGCAAAGGCAAGAAGGGTCTCCAAAGCAAAGCCATAAGGGATAGAGAAAGCATAGATGGTTGGCATGGTGATGTCCCTCCATGGTTGAGTTGAATCATGGAAAATGGAGTCCTAGAAAAGCACTCTCTTTTTTTTTTGGATCTTAGAACAAAAAAATCACTTGACGAGATAGGATGGTGGTGGTGGAGGAATCGTGGAAGTGTGATCTGATCTGAGGGCCATGACAAACAATGACAAAGGGCTAAGAGCCTTGAATGGGAAAGAAAACAAAAAAAAAAAGCATGAGAATACAAAAGCGACCCATTTCGGCAAAACTGCTTCCACCCCAAAATTCCCCATCTTGCTTTGTGGCTTTTGATGTTTGGTTCAATTTTGAGATCGTGACGAGGGCACGTGAGGCATATTTAGCATCTCTGATTATCTAAATCAGCACTAACAGTACAAAAAATCTGCAACAATATGTTCCAACTGAAAAATCAAATCTGACGTGACATGACATGAATTGACAACCCTCAACCTTGCTGCCAAAATTGACATCAGCTTTAAATCTTTTTTTAATTGATTATTAAATGTATTTTTATCAATATTATTATTATTAATGTTTTAAAACATTTATTTTAATAGTTTAATGTAATAAAATAATAGTTTAATTTGACATAGCGGATAGAGATCAAAATTTAAAAGAAGTCAAAATGTCACATACATTGTCATATTTAAATTTTATGTTTAAAAGTTGACACCTTCTTTGAAGATGCGTGTGCTTCTTCGTTGTGTAAGCGGCAAACATGGCATTGCCACCCACCTCCCATGGTGGGTGCACTGCACATCCAGAGCCAAATATGACTATAGTAGAAACTGCATTCATCTCTTCCTTTATTACGCTCCATCGAGAGGGAGATATTCATGAGTCCAGCAGGTGGACCACGTGATATGTGCATCCACGCTCTACAAAACCCCTTGCATTGAGAGTGGGACCAACATAAGGGTTGGTGGGACCTTGATAGAGAGCACTCTCTCTATTTATGGCCGGACATATGACGTGCTCCACCTGCCAAACAAAAGAATTTCTCCACCATGAGGACGTAAAATGGAGATCCTATCAACTTGTTCCTACCTAGATTTCTACCACAAGCAATTTTATTTTCTTTTTCTTTAATGAAAGTCAAACTGAAGAGGGGTTTTAGGCGTTTTTGTAGGAAATATTAACCCACTTAACTTAGGCGAGGTTTCCTAAAAGGTTAAAAGTACCAAATTTGACTGAGCTAAACAAGATTTACGGGCTACTCATTTGGACTGGATCTCAATATTTCAGTTGCAGCAGCCCACTTCACAATCATCACGATGAACTTCCTCCTAATCAAATGAAATCAATTTTCTATAAATCGGACCCAAATTTGGAGAAATTTTTATTTGAAATGAGATGCTTCAGAGGTTTTGAAACCGCTAATACACGAGAAAATCCTTCGTAGGGAGGCCGCATGGTCACGCTTGTGTGATCACCCAATAACAAGCTCCCATGCGTGGAACTAATGAGGCCCGATGAACCAAAATAGAAGGGGTTTTGTGTGTGAGAGCAAGTTCAGACCATGCGGAATCAGCTGCCCTGCTGATGTTTTTCCCCTAAATTCACATCAATATTATTTCCACAAACTCAGATTCGCAGTGATTAGAAGTGATTTTAAAACCTTTTGAACCAAACACAAAGCAAGAGACTGCGACAATACAAACTTGTAATAAATCCGCTATGTTTTCGTGTACTATTCATCTGAACCACACTAGGATTCTCAGTTTCACAAAAAGACATGAGCACAAGGTAATGCATCATCATCATCATCACACTTAGCACGAATAGATTTAGTCATACTCTAATTCGTCAGGAGTAACTGGCCGTTTGAGAGGTATGACTGATTTCTTCTCCACGTCACGAGATAATGCCTTCCTCATATCTGAAACGGGCACAAACTTGTTAGAAAGGTGAGAATGAAAAAATGTTGTGATAAAGAAATTATGAACATTGTGAGAACTCACCTAACCCGTCTTCCTCCCCTGAATAGTACCGTAGCACTCGTCTATAGATTACATAGCCAAGCTGTGGGAACAAATAACAGCAGAAAAAGAAACAGATAATGAGCATTGTCCTGATGGAAATTGCAGAATATCCAAGTCAACTATGTCAGCTTCCCACAAAACCACACAAGCACATAGAAGCTCCAAATCATATACTTGGGAGTTCTCAAAAGGTGCACATTTGTTATATTGATATTAAAGGAATTACTTTCAAATCTGTACCACAAACAAGAATTTTTTTTCACGAAAAACGGAGAGTATGCTAGAAATATAGGTAACCTACTTTCCACTGATTTCAACTGGGCTGAAAATACAAAGCAAACCATCTCCACAGCTAAAGAAACATTACCTTTTCGTACATCTTTATGGCGGGTGTGTTTGATGCTCTCACAAAAAGATCAACAAAGTAACCCTTATCACTGCCAAATGAAAGTTGTTAAAGAGGTGAGGCATAAATGACAAAGACTTGAAACTCATACAACCCAGTAACACCTTGCTCTCAACCTAAAAATGGATTCACAAGACAATACAACCCGCAAAAAAACTCCCAAAATTGTAGAGAATTCAATGCTCATTTTTTAAGATAGAAATTAGAATTACATGACAAAAGGAAAATGGGGTCCGAATGGTCATAGGATCACTTCACCTATCATCAACATATATCTGAGTTTGTCAAGAAAAACTATTATCGGAATTTCTATTATCGCAATGAAATGATAAGTGCAAGAAGAAGGCCAAGTTTCTATCATACATCTTATCGCTGAAGTTTTCAAGCAAGTTCATGAGTTTCTTGGCCAACTGCTGCCTGCGATATTCTGGAGAAACAGTTACTGCAGTTACATGACCATGCCATGACTCACCTTGCCCCTCAACCTTTCCCATAACTGCAAATAAATCAAAATCAGATAGCTATCTGTAAACCTATCAAGACTAAAAACACGGCTTCGAAGGAAAAGAGAAAGAGAAGCAAATCATATTAGTATCAAGAAGCAAGCCAACATGGTGACCAATTGGAAATATCCACCCTCTATTCTCACATAACCTGAATGAACAAATCGGTGAGCATCTCGTACGTGTCACTAACACTCCATTTTCGAGAACAATACATAACAGAAACTAATCCTAGACACTCGGGAAGCATTTAATTCTTCACAAACCCGTATGCTAAGCAAAGGCCCGTTTCTTAATCTCACCCCCCCCCCCCCCCCAACCACAACCTTCCGCAACATATTGTCTTTAGCAGTCGAATTCCATCAATTCCATTATCCAAGCAACCAACTTTATACCAACGGGCGATACAACAAACTTAGTAAAATGTAATTTTACAAAATATGAACAAAATAGTAGCATTATATACCAAGTCAAGTGCTAATTTAAGCATAGCATAGAAGAAAAAGCTCAATCCCAAGTTCCAAACTTCTTATCCACCCTCCATTTTGTACTTACAATGGAAAACTTTCAACCCCAAATAAATGGGATTGCAAGATATCATTTGTAAATGCAAAACTACAAATATATATATTGCCATTTTCCAAGGGCAAAAGCAAACATGAGAGAGATATGGGGTGCTTACTGTAACCCATAATTCGGTGTCCAGGTGCTTCGGCAACATGAAAGTAGTCGGGCCATCTCGCCAAATACGTCATATAAAACGACATATTGAACTGCAAAAGCACCAGATTTATTAGAAATTTGCACAACAATTTCAGGAAATTGGAGAAGAAAGTGCAAGGAAAGCGAACTGGAGGAGCAAAAGGAAAGAACTTTACAGTTTCGGTGAGGTGGTCGAGATTCACAGAGGTGAATCGAAGAAGATCATTGCAGCGGAATCTGCGTATCGTCGTCATCTCTCTTTGGAAGCTTGAATACTCGAAAGAGTTTGACCGGTGTTTCAGGACGGTTTTACCGCCTGGACAAATAAGTAATTAGACTAGAGCCTTGCTTGAGAATTGAGAATTGATATCGGGATTTCATAAGAAACACCTCAAAATTAATTTTAAATATTTTTAATTTTCTCCAATATCTTAACACAACTATTTCAGCAAACAATATTGCTTGTAACAAAGTCGAATAGTTAGAGATCATATCATTTTCTTCCTATTCTTCCTTGTTTCGTAATTGACACACAATCTTTATAGCGAAAAACAATCACATAATTGTTGCTTACCTCCATACAATTCACGTATCTCAATTCTTAGATTCATAATGTTATAGCATACATACTATTTTTCTTCTTCTTTGTCATAAAATGCCAAAAGCACTCGCATTTATCAATCAACACTTACATGAACAACAACATGCCAACAAAAAATTGACTTAAAAAAACCCCGCTGTCATATGTTTTATTAATTTGCTGATGTGATGTGCTCAAAATAAATGGTTAGATTGGCCCAAGTGTTACATTTTCATGTATAAATTGATAATGTTGGTGGCAGTGTCACTCTTCTTGTATATACCAGATAAGCAAACAAAATCAACAAAAACCCAGAAAAGCAGCTCACAAATGTAATTATATGAATGCAAGATGACTCGGCATCTTACTTGATAATATCAGACTCGTGTCTATGATCCTGATTAACTCCTTACGATACCAAATAAAAAATAATAATAATCACTCTTTTTCTTTATATACAACTCAGGCCAGAAAACACAACCCCTAAATCCAACTGAATCGGATGTAAAACAAATTCGAATATAATTTTCTAAGGCGAAATTTCTAACCGTTAAATTGGATTAGACAAAATCATGAAATTTTTTTCCAACAGCCCAATTATATTAAATTACAAATTTGAAGCCGATTTTGACATGCAATCGGTCAATCAGGTAGGAATCGTTTCGGACTAACCTTGATGGCGTGCGTCGGAAAGTTTGAATCCGAACAAAGCTCCAAGGTTTTAGGGAGATGCTGTTGATGTGAAATCCAACATGCAAAGGTTGAAGGAGAGGAACTTCAATTTGAACGATCTGGAGCAGAGTGGCTGCTTGGTGACGACGGCCGGGCAGGATAAATTTGGGGAATTTGGATCAGTGGCCCCTTAATATTTTCCCAGTCCCTTATCTATAAAAATTCACACTAACTACTCATACTTCCTATTGTTTACAATTTGCCACCTTCATTCATTTAAATTCACTTTTCTGTTAATCGATGACGCGTGAAAAGAACGTGTGCCTTTTTTCTAAATCATTCTCGTCATTTTGTTAGAGTGCTGTTAAATTCATCCGATTATTTTATTTGGAGTGTGATATCCACACATTCATTTTTACTTTTTTCATACTTTTTTAGTTTTAGCCTCGTCGAATCAGATGATTTGAAGAAGATCAATGAACATAAATTAACAAGAGTATGTGAGAAGTAAAAAAAAAATATGTGAATAGCACATCCTTTTATTTTCCATATTATAAATTGCTTCAACTTCAAATGACCCAGTTGCAGAAACTGACGAGGATGCCCTTAAAAGTGGGTGCCAATTGTAAAACAATACAAAATTTGGATGGTTGATTTATAAAAGGATTTAGTTTATGTGTCATTCATGCAATTTTATCATTAGGTTATTTTAGACCCGAACCGAAAACCCAAATCGCGGTCCGTTAACCCGCACCACAAAATATTTATTCTTTTTTTCGATCTATTTAATTCAGGAAAATCAAATCATCATCATCTTCCCCAAATCCGAAACCCATTCAAAACCCTAGATGGATCTGCTGAAGGCAGAAATCACCAAGAAACGGCAGAGACTCGAAGAAGACACCGGCGGCAAGCGATTCTTCAAGCGCTCCGAGATCGAGCAGAAGCAAATCCAGAAGCTTCGGGAGCAAGAGAAGCGAGAATTAGAAGCCAAAGCCCAGCGTCAAGCCGCCGCCTCCAACTCCGCCTCCGCAAGCGGCTCTTCCGCCGCTAAATCAAACTCCAATTCCGCCGCAGCCTCATCCTCCGGCACCACATCCTCCAACGCCGCTGCGTCTAAGTCGTTAACCGATGAGCAGAACATCGACAATATGAACCTTCCGAAACAGGAGGTCGTCCGCCGGCTCCGATTCCTCAAGCAGCCCATCACTCTCTTTGGCGAGGATGATGATGCCCGGCTTGACCGGCTCAAGTACGTGCTGAAGGCCGGGTTGTTCGAGGTCGACAGTGACATGACGGAGGGGCAGACGAACGATTTCCTTCGCGATATTGCAGAGCTGAGGAAGCGGCAGAAGTCGGGGCTTGTGAGCAAGCGGCAGAAGACGGAGGTTGATGGTGGTGTGGAAGATGGCGAGGGCGGGGTCCGGGAAGACGATTTGAGCGCAGATGGGTGCTCGAGCGGCGTCGATGCTGATAAGGATTTGAAGCGAATGAAGACGAATTTCGAGGAGCTGTGTGATGAAGATAAGATATTGGTGTTCTTCAAGAAGCTGTTGAATGAATGGAACCAGGAGCTGCGTGAGATGCCGGATGCGGAGAGGAGAACTGCTAAGGGGAAGTCCATGGTTGCTACATTCAAGCAATGTGCGCGCTACTTGCATCCTCTTTTCAAGTTCTGCAGGAAGAAGGTACATTGATTATTGCGTTGGGTGTTCTCATTCGGTTTCGATTATGTTGTTTTAGTTAATGATCAATCACATTGTGTTCAACTTATATACATTGTGCGAAAACGTAATCAGTTCAATGATCAATCACATTGTGTTCAACTTATAACATTGTGCGAAAAAGAACTCGGAAATAGAAAGCCGAAACTATGCTTTTAGGTGTAAATTCCTTATATGGTTGATCTTAGAAGTTGGAAATTAAAACCCAGTTCTTTCTTATTGTATAATTCTCTTTCAAGTATTACTTGTTTGAGAATCATATCGACTTGATAAAGAGTTAGGGAAAGAATTCGAAGGAATGCTCTTCGGTGTGTATTTTTCACACAATTGAGCTTAGAATTTAAAACCCTGTGCTTTTTTCTTGTTGTAGTTCCCTTTGGATTGTATAGTTTTAGTTCACTTGATATTTAGATGTATAATTCGACTGTCGTATTTTGATTTGTAGATCCTTCAAGATGATATTCGCATAGCATTGATGGTGGTGGTTCGGTGCTGCATGAAGCGAGACTACCTAGCTGCAATGGACCAGTACATCAAGCTGGCTATCGGGAATGCACCGTGGCCAATTGGTGTCACTATGGTTGGCATCCACGAGCGTTCAGCTCGCGAGAAGATCTACACCAACAGTGTGGCTCATATCATGAATGACGAGACAACTCGGAAATACTTGCAGTCAATCAAGAGATTGATGACCTTCTGCCAACGGCGCTACCCAGCCATGCCTTCAAAAGCTGTGGAGTTCAACAGCTTGGCTAATGGTAGCGACTTGCAGTCTCTGCTAGCATCGGAGGAGAGGGCGGCCGCTAGCGGAAATCAAGACTCAGACGAAAGGCTTCTGTTAATGCCAGCTCCATAGAAGAGCTTATCATGTATAGGACGAGAATGATCTGTTTGTGTGAATTTTTTCAATGCACAATCAAACCGAAACTATGTTACGAAATTAGCTCGTATCTTTTATTCAATCGAAATCGTTAATCGATATTGATCGGGATTTAACATCTTGTAGCTTTGTTCTAGAAATAAGATGTAATTTTACAAACATTGTGAATGCATTCGTTTTGCACATTTGATGTTCACAAACAAAGATCATCGACTCTTCCCAAAACCAAACGTGTCTTCAACACCATTGTTCACCTTGCTTCTCCGCATGGCGGTCGTGTCTGCATACGCCTGGAGAAACGAAAACGACAGTAACTTTAGATGTGGGTTATGCCAGTTAACTAGGGCAGCCGGCAGCGTATTAGCCCATCGCACCAAGAAGAAAACCATGAAAACAAAGAATAGAGAAAGATGTACCAACAAGTGCTAATTAGTAAGGCTGCTAAGATTGTCACTACGACTGAGTGCAGAAGCAGCCAGCTACCACCAATCACTACCACTCCAGTCAGTGTAATTGTCCGTGGCTGACACCTAGAAACAAGAAACTTACATATTAGATGAACCATAAAACCTTGTTTGATCTTTTCGAGTCTATTTGAAAGTGTTTTTAGAATGACTTCTACGTGTTTTTCAAACATCCAGAACTGCTTACGACAACATTTGTATAAATGCACTTGGTAGTGTTTTTCCAAACAAGTGCCGACTTTTAACAAAGAGCTCGTATGAGTAGAAGTACTTTCTAGAAAAGCATTTCAAAACATACCCTTAACTGGATGACCTGAAATTCAATTCCAACAGAGTCCACAAGCTAAGACGAACCCAAGGCAAACCTAACTGAACCAAACCAAACAAACCGATTCAAAACAGAAAAAACCTTATTTAGAGCAAGCAACAGGAAAATAGGGAAGACCCAGGAGAGGGTGAAAGCTCATCAGGATGGCTTGGTGTCCCAAACCGTGTCGTATTCAAGAGAAAGGTAGTTCATGTAGCCATCCATGTCTCCCACAACTCCGTCTTCGTCCAAGAACTGAGACTCTTTCGGGTCAAAATTGCTGCCAAAGACGACATTTTCGCTACAAAATATTTGCCGGTTTCAGACAAGTTACGGAGATGAGCGGCACCGAAACTGGGTTGCAGAGATGGGTTTGTACAGAGGCGAGACGAGGTGGAGAATGGAGGAGTGAGAGAAGAGGGAAGAGATACTGACTAACTAGGCTAACTCACACTTGCATTGCTTTGCTTATTTCGATTACAATTTGTTCAATAACTGGATACACAAGTGAGTCGGGAATTCAATAGCCAAATGACTACGAAAATTTCACAATGCACCGGAGAATGAGATACACTATTTCTGTGGATGGCTGGATTTGCGTGCGGTTCATAAAAATAGTGCATCACATACACGCGTAAATGTTACTTTGATGTTATATTTAAGTATCTTGAACCCAAATCCTGATAGTTTTATCCAGAGACGCAGAGGCAATCTTGTTCTCCTGATGATGGCAGGAAACAGCGATGACAGTGTCTGTATGGCCTTCGAGTTTCTGAACCATTGTTCTCGGCTGGAGATCCCATAAGTAGACGCAGTGATCCTCCGACCCGCTCACAATGTATTTACCATTTGTCACAGAAAATGTAGATGTTATGCAAAACACCTTGTTCACATGACCTGTATAGATCTTCAGAAACTTCCCCGCCGCGTAGTTTGACAGCCGCTGCACCCAGAAACGAAAAATGGAATTCACATTTCAATTAACCAGAATTACAGAAACAGTCCTACATTAGTAGCTGATATTTAACGGGATGCACAAGTTATACACAACCACTGAGTCTCTGCTTAAATCAAGAACTAGGAACGAGATGTCAAAAAGCAACACACAAATTGGCCAGCAACATGATGCACCTTCTTCTTCTCTTGCGGTTTTTCTAGGGTACGAACAAGGAACAAGTACGAACACCTACAAATGATGCATCAAATATGTGCATAAAACCCATCAAATAGGCCAAACATACCACTCTCAATTGGCCACGGTGATTCGGTGAATGTCAAAAGGCAAAACTCAAATCGGTCAGCAACATGATGCACCTAGTTTCTTCTATTGCGATTTTTCTAGGGTTTGAACAACCAAATAAGTATGAACACCTAAAAATGACTCTTAAAAGAGGTGCACTATACCCATTCAATGTGCCAAACGTACAACTCAATCGGCCATGACAATGGCCAATTGATGATGGTATCTCCAGGTGTTCGTGTTTTCGTACTTTCGTCAGACCCTTCTCTCAGACTTACAAATTACACTGCTAATCAACTCAGACACACAAACAAATTGCCCTGCCCAAATGAATCATGGCACGTTTAATGACAGTATTTCCAGGTGTTCGTATTGAGTACGTTTTCGTGCTTCCGTCTTAATTTTTTTTCCAGAATTACCAATGACATTCATTGCTAATCAGCTCAGAGACACAAACAAATTGCTACCCAATTCAAACCGCATGCTGATGAACATAAAAAATCACTACTTTCATGTACCCACAAAAGAAAAACCCCAACATTTCAACGGCGAATCGGAACAAAAACGAAAGGAAAATGCAGATGGAATTCTTACGAGGGTGTCATTGAGAGTGGCGACGAGTATGAACTTGCCATTAGGCGAGAACTTGGCGAAGGAGACGGAGGCTGATTTATCGTCAATCAGCGTCTTCAGCAGAGTTCCCGACTCGGTGTCCCAAATCTTACAGGACCCGTCGTGGCTGGCGGAGACGACAAGCGAACCGTCGCGATTGAAGCTCACGGAGGTCAGAGGCATCGAGTGGGCCCGGATAGCGTGGAGGCACTTCCCGGTCTTGACCTCCCAAATACGCATCGTTTCGTCGAAGGAGCCGGAGACGATGAGGTGGGACTGGGGATTGAAATTGACGCAGAAGACGCGGTCGGAGTGGCCGCGGAGGGTCTTGACGCACTCGCCGGAGGGGGAGCGGGCGTCCCAGATACGGAGGGTCCGATCGTCGGAGGCGGAGCAGATGTAGTGGGAGTCGGAAGACCAGGCAAGGTCGGAGATGCCGTCGGAGTGGCCGAAAAGGCGGCGGAAAAGGGTTAGGGCGGAGGCGGACCAGAGGATTACGGTCTTGTCGGTGGACGCCGAGGCCAGAAGGGTGCCGTCGTTGGAGTATTTGACGCAGGCGATGGGGCCTTCGTGGCCGCGGAGGGTCTTGAGGTGGCGGTAGGGCCTGTAAGGCGACGCTTGGCCACTGCCACTGCTTGCCATCGCCTTCTTTGGTACCACAATTTCACCAGCCCCACAGCCGAAGACGGAGTAAGACTTTAATCTCTTCAAATCATAATCACGTGACAATCACGTGACATCTAATATTTTATTCGTATCCTTGGGTGTATTCAAATATAAATTAGTCAAATAATACAACGTGAATTTATTCTAATTATCTACTTTATTGTGCTTTACCTTGCTCCTTGTTCCGATTGCTCATAAAAAATTACTCTCGAAATACAGGTAATGTGTTAAATATTCTCATTGTCCTCTTCTCTTGGTCACTCATTCGGTGACCAAGGAAATCAGGGTCGCTTATTGAGATCCATTTTTTTTTATAAATCAAAGAGTAAGTGATCACGAATTCCTTGATCATCGGGTGACCGAGGAACATTTCCGACAAACACAAATTGTGGGAATGAAGAAAGATAACTAAATTCATGAGAACCAATAAAATTAGTTTGAGGGATTTGTTTTCTTTTGATGAATAGCGGAGAGATCTTTTAACAATCAAGTACAAAACGAACTCATGATCAAGTCCGTAGGCTTACATATACAGAGAACAAAGAAATGACAAAACAGCATACTTCAAGGGCCTTTTTACTCGTCTACTGGAAAATACGCGGCCGAGAAAAGAAAGAGCCAACCAGGGACCTTCGCATACGAAACTGAATCTCGGTTCGGCCACATAAGGTTGTTAGATGGACAGGGACGATCATGGCGGCACACCTACCGTCCACAAGTCGTATTTTTCGATCATGGTAAAACTGCATCTCATATAGGGCTTCAAAAATTACACTTCATAGGCACAAAAGGGCACTCTGTTAGACAAAGCAGAAAGTAAGAGCTATCAGTAATGCAAACCTTTTACATATTGTCGTGCAATGCACACAGGCATACATCTTGTAACTATGTCGGCGGTTCGTTGATTTGTTTTGAACTATCTCATATCCTAATTATCCGTCGGATTTTTGATGATTCATGTAGATAGATAATCATCAGATCTATTTATCCTACTCTAATTTGCTAAATGTGTAAAACAATCCCAAAAAAAGATCACTCTGCAACTGCTTATTTTGCATATGTGAGAGAGGGAGAAAGAGAGGTACATGAATGGATTTGGTGGCCACAGATTCTATCATTGCCATGCTTGGTTTTGTCCTACACGGCCACATAGTCCACCTCGTCTGAGCTTTCATCGTAAATTACATAACCAACATCTCGAGCATCCTCATTGCCACTACCATGATCGCTATTGTAACTGCTCTCAGAAAAACTCACAAACATTGAACCATCAGATGAAGGACTGCTCATCTGCGATGCCAATGGCAGACTGATATCACTATATGGCTCACTGTCAAACATTGGGTCCATGTCGGGGTAACTGCAAAACCATTCGGAACCAGCGACAACTAAGATAAGCCAATTTTCAAAGACCTATTCATTCTAAATTTGGAAAAAGAAAATTAAAACAGAAGAACAGAAAGTTGAAGTTCCATTGAAATACAACAGTTGAAGAGTAAGCAAACCTTCCTTCTGGTGGAAGCTCAGCCAGCAGACAGAGATTAGGCCTTTCTTCTAACACCTGCTTCAAGGGAATGGTGCTGCGACAAAATTGACCCAAAAAAAATCACTATTAAAATATCTGTGACACAATACGAACCGAAGATCAAATCCCACCGTCAGTATGGTGGCGGTTTAGGAGATGGGAAGGCTCTATTCCATTACCTTAAGGTGTGGCATCTCTGAATCCAGTCATCCTCAGATGCCAAACCTTCTCTGTTAGATATATCCTGTTTGAGGCAATAGGAAAGTAAGCATCACTCTGAGCCCTCAACTTTATATTCAAGCTTACACAAAAAGAAGATGATGATATTTTATACACCCACAAGATGTCTAAGGAACTTGAAATCCCCAGCAAGAACAGCTGTCAACAACCGAGTCGCCTCCACCTTCAAAAATTACAATTTCGGTTTTAGAGAGAGAGAGAGAGAGAGAGAGAGAGAGGAGGAAGCACAAATGTAGAGGCACAGTATGAAGTGCTCAACTTTTTTTTGTAAAAAAAAGTGCGCACCATTTTGAGATGCATGCAATCCCGTAGAATCAAGACTTCCAGCAGATTCCCACCTGTGCTGCTTCCAAGGTTCCTGAAAAATATGAAGTTTCATTAAGCCTATGATACAGAAACTTAATAAAAAGTCTCCTCTATTAAAGGTAACTGACCTTAAAAATGATCCAGTGATCGAGTAGGAAGTCGAGAAATCAACGTACTTTAATTTCTTAAATCCCTGAACAAGTACCCAGATATTAGATTCCAGTCTGACAGAACACAGTTATTTCACCAAAAAATTGTTGTAAAATGTATTACTCCTCCCAGTCATTTACTCAATGCATAATAACTCATGTAGCAATTCTATCTACATATTGTTAGGAATCTACTATAACACCAAACAATATAAGACTCGAGGGTATTGTTTCTTAAAATTCCCGAGAGATACCTTAAGAAGTATACGAACTTTATAATCATGTAACTTAAACCCTCTGAGGGCCAATGATGTTAGATGAGGGCAATTGTTCACCAGATCAACACAAGTTGGTGATTTCAAACTGTCATCTCTACCTGAGATTTGTCAAACATGAGTAAGAAAATATTTTCTGAGAACATAAGGTGGGGTTCCTCATGAAGAAGTGCAATACCTGATTTTGAAGATTCAAAGAACAGACGTTCTATTGATTGACAGTTTGCACTCACTGACAGCAGTGTTTGCCTCAATTCAACGTGACTGAAGATTGCACAAAATCAAGAATCTTGTAGTGTAATCCAACAAACAAGATTGCAAAACATCAAAAACTGAACTTACAGGCCAACAATCTCCAAATCAACAAGAAATGGGCAAGCACCTAGGGCCCCAGAGAGTGACGTATTATCCATTCTTTCAATATTGTAAAGGTGCAACCTTCTTAGAAGAATCCTTACAACAAGCAAAAGAAAGTATAAGATAAATAAGTAAGTCGCCCGAACAAAATTTTCAAAGTCTTAAAATTCAAGCATACCCTGGAGCACCATTGTTCGCGCCTAAAGGGCTTAAACAGGACCTACTAAGAATCGATGACTCCTTCCCTTGTCGTGATCTCTTATCATTCCATGAAAAGTTGGATACATCTACAGAATTCCTGATGGTATAAACTAACGGTTGACAAGATCCAATTGGCGTAGTTGGGCCTGGAACTACCCCAAGCTTAAGAGACCTGAATATTCAATTACTCATAAAGGGGAAAATGTTATACAAATGAGACTATCATGTGCTAGTGCAACATCAAATTAGCGTTAAAATGAGGAAGCATAAAGTATGAAATTAGAACTGTAAACTACAGAGATTCAAAGTTTTCACTTGACACAAATGCATGAGTAGACTGTTAAGACTGAAGTTTTTTTTGGGTCAAAAACTCTTACCGGAGAGATTTCCCTGCTCGGTGAATCATTGTGGAAACTACCGCATTGTTAACTTTTGGGACAACTGTTGTCAAGTCAATATTGGCGTAGCAAGAGGAATCCATGGCACACTTATTAAACATTGAACAAGTAGCAGCAGCATAGCATAGGCTTTGTGTATCAAGCATGGAAAAGACCTGCATGTCAGCATACACTCAGATAATGTATGAATTTCCTATCTAAATTCTGACAAATAAAGTAGTTCTGGCATGCAAACAGTTGGCGCTAAGGCCATTTTTAGATGAGGGATTTGCAAGTGGAAGTGTATTTGGGCCAGATCAGTTAGAAATGAACTAGAAACATTACCAATACATAAAGAAGGGATTTTAAAATGACTCATTTGATCCCTATTAGTGTATTGCAAGATGTATCTACTCTTTTCCAATTCCCCATCTAATATTTTGTAGTGCATTTCTAACTAATTAAGCCTAAATCCCTCATCTGAACATAACCTACAGATTGATATATCCACGGAATAAATGAGAAAAAAGGGGCCTCGAGGCCAATGCAAATGATAATTTCGGTTTCGATTTGATGGGGCACACACTAATCTCTAATAATCGCATATGAATTATGGAATCAAATCAATAATATCAGTGATCAGGCAATTAAACATAACCCACCAATGCAAATCAACCAAAATGCAACTATCAAATCTTCAATTTCAAATGCCCCAAAACGAAAATCAACAAAACAATACAGCTTTCCTATTCAAACCGATCGCCAAAATCAACCAAAATGCAACTATCAAATGCCCCAAAACGAAAATCAACAAAACAATACAGCTTTCCTATTCAAATCGATCGCCAAAATCATATCAAATTACGCAATCAACCCGCTGGATTCGCATTCAATTCAGCTCGATTTCGATTCTGCGTACCTTGATAGTAAGGTCGGGAGGAAGAATCCAGGCGAGCGAGTTGTGCTTGGAGGCGCGCTTCCTGGCGGAGCGCTTGGCTGCCTCGAGGAGGACGGAGCCCAATTGGAGGGCGCGATCGATGAGCTTGGTCTGATCGGCGTCGGAGGCCCGTGACTCGAGTAGGCGCTCGAAGGAGAGGTCGATGGCGAAGGGCGGGGAGTCGGAGAACTCGAGAAATGTGTCGAGGAGGTGGTCACGATCGAGCTGGTTGAGGTTTGGGGTTCTAGGGTTTTGGGAGGGGCAGGGTCGCTTCGCCATGGATGACGGGCTGTGCAGCAGGGTATCCATAGCGGGTGGTTTATCGAAGCCGAAGTGGTTTTTTGAGGTTGGAGATACGGAGTGGGCGTGGTTTGATGACACGTGTTTGTATTTGCGTGGGTTTGGAAGGTTTTTTGCCCGGTGAGGTTATCGGAGCCCCTATATACTACATGGTTGCACATAACTGCACCAAATGCTTTTGTTCTTTTCCTTTTTTCATCAATAGATTCACTCTCATCAATCATTCTAACATCAAAAAAATTTACAGGTCGATTACACATTGTTATGCAAACAATTTAAAATGCATGAAAATGGATGATTATTTTAAAATATTTAAGGTATTGTTTACTTATTTGAAACGGTCAAAAGTTTTGAAAAAAAAAAAAGTAAGAACAAAGGAGAATTAGTACTGGTTTGGTATTGATGTTCTTTTATAAAAAGTAGGTATAAAAATAAAAAAAAATAAAAAAAAACTATACTCAAAAAAGTGTTTGGTAACCATTTAAAAACAACTCATTTTCATAGTTTTGGTTGAAAAAAAAACTAATTACGTGAAACAGCAAAAATGAGCTTATTCTCACAGCATAGCAGAAACAGTTTTTTTTTCAAAGTACAGCAATACTAAACCAACCCTTAGATCAACTAAACATGCTTGGAGTTAAGAATTGTAGTAATTCAAATTGTGTTTGGTTATAGTGCAAATTTTGCTTCATGAAATCAAAGAACCATGCAGTCAACAAAGAATCATGCCATTAGTTGCCAAATTGAACAGAAAACCTTTATAATTAATACACGGAAAACGGTGTTCAAAGTAAATGAAAAATAGGTTTGCAGAGAAAAATAAATTCATAAAAAGAAAAAGAAAAAAAAACAAAAAAAAGTATCCTTGAATATTTAGTCAATTATTTTAGGTCTCCAAAAAATATGTAAATAAATTGAGTGTGGTGTCCATGGACAAAACTTTGTTGTACAAAGAACAACTTTAAATTTTTTAGTTTAACTTGAAATTTAAAAGTGAACTAGAAGCCCAAGATTAAAGGATATCACATGCCGGAAGGCCCAAAATAACTGAAGGGAGCAATATGCAACATGAGTAAACCCAACTTCACCATTATGAGACACTTTAATTCATATATTATAGAATTAAATATGTTTTAATTTGATTTTAAAACATTACTAATTTTTTTATATAACGATATTTTACTCTAGATGACTAGAAATGAGTTGGCAAGTCACTGACTAGATATCAAATTCAATATAATACATTACCAATAAACTGTAACACTAGTCGATAAGGTTGATTATATTCAACACTCACTTTCTTGCATTTGGGCATACCACATACAAAGTTCATAACACACTCTTTTCTTTCTCAATGGATCACGAACAATGATTCAAATTAAAAAAAAAATAAAAAAGCTTTAAAAGTAGTGATAGCTTGTCATTCACAAGAATGTGTGTGAGGAACACGATCTGATATACCAATATTATAATACAAATGGTTGGAATTTTTTTTTTCAAATGTCCAACCACTTGTATTTTGACATTTAATATGTCATGTTCCCAACATATTGAAAAATCTATCGTCATTCACACCTGAGCATGTGAAATGTTATGATTAATTAGTTTTCATATTTATAGACACCGAATTTTGGTACACCTAATGAAAAAAGCATAAATCAATAATGAAAATAAAGAGAACATTGCAAGAGGAGAAAACGGGAAGTGAAAATCACTACCCTTCAATTATGTTGATATAAAACAAATGTCACATCCTGACCCGGGCTCGACTCCGACGTAGCACGATATTGTACATTTTAGGCCCCGACCACGCCCTCACGGTTTTGTTTCTGGGAACTCACACGAGAGCTTCCCAGTGGGTCATCCATCCTAGGATTGCTCTTGCGCGAACTTGCTTAACTTCGGAGTTCCGATGGAACCCGAAGCCAGTGAGCTCCCAAAAGACCTTGTATATGGAGGTGGGCATGTACATGTAAGGCATAGATGAACCTCTCCCTTGGGCGATGTGGGATCTAACAACAAGAGAGCAACAAAAAACATAACTTGCATTTCAAGTATATTTAAAACCCCAAATAAATAAATAAATAAAACATAACTTCTATTCATTCTTCCAAGCATGTAAGATTAGTGAGAACCCAAAATCTTGCAACTGGTTATCTCTCAACTCCTGAGAGGAGGATGACCAACTCAACACAGAAGGATCTAGAACTGGCAAACCAGTCCATAACTTCTTGCTTTCATCTGTTGCAACATTGAGGCAAGTTTGGAACATGAAAACTACATCTCCCATTGGATTCCCAAACAGCCAATTGTGCACATCCCAAAACACCTCAACTCTCATCCCATCTACCACAATTATGCGATTGCCTCTAAATTTCCAGTTCAATCTCTTTACCTACATCAGGAAATTCGGTTTAGGTCAATAAATAATTTCATAATTCGGGTTTTCGTAAATAAATGTTTTGGTTTTCAACTTAGGTCGATGCCTCACTTACGACCTAGTCAAGCATCAACTTCATAGCAGTTATGGTTTTAGAACATGTTAACTCATTTGTAACGCACGAAATTGTGTTGATTGACTGAACCATAATTTTGAAAATGTACCTGCAACACAGTCTTATTGTCAATGTTGATCACAAGATATGGCTCATGGAGGCCACCGGCAGTTTCACACTTGATTTTCACATCATGGGTTTTGCCCAAATCACAAAACTGTGCCTTTGCTCCATAAAAAATTTTCCCAAAAATGTGCTATCTTTACATCAGGTCGATTACACATGGTTACGCAAAAATTTTAAAGTATATAACAATGCACAATTATTTTAAAATATTTAAGGTATTGTTTACTTATTTGAAACGGTCAAAATTTTTTATTAAAAAAAAAAAGTAAGAATGGTCAAAAGTTTAAATAAAAAAAAAAGTAAGAACAAAGGATAATTAGATCAACTAAACATGCTTGGAGTTAAGAATTGTACTAGTTCAAATTGTGTATGATTATTGTGGAGCCAAAAATAATCAAGAGGTGACACGTGAATTTTTTGATTAAAAGGACAAAAATAGCCTTGAGGCATATTGGGATTGTCACATCCCGGCCCGGGCGGGACCACTTCCCAAGCCCGACTCCATCGTAGCACGATATTGTCCGTTTTGGGCCCCGACCACGCCCTCACGGTTTTGTTTTTGGGAACTCACACGAGAACTTCCCGATGGGTCACTCATCCTGGGAATGCTCTCACGCGCTACTCACTTAACTTCGGAGTTCCTACGGAACTCGAAGCTAGTGAACTCCAAAAGGCATCGTGCTAGGTAGGGATGGGAATATACAGATAAGGATCACTCCCCTCGTCGGCACACCACGACCAGGGTTAGGCTCTGATACCAAATTGTCACATCCCAGCCCGGGCGGGACTACTTCCCAGGCCCGACTCCACCGTAGCACGATATTGTCCGTTTTAGGCCCCGACCACGCCCTGACGGTTTTGTTTTTGGGAACTCACACGAAAACTTCCCGATGGGTCACCCATCCTAGGAATGCTCTCGCGCGCGCTATTCGCTTAACTTCGGAGTTCCTACGGAATCCGAAGCCAGTGAGCTCCTAAAAGGCATCATGCTAGGTAGAGATGGGAATATACATATAAGAATCACTCCCCTGGGCGATGTGGGATATCACAGGGATTCCTACGCGCGAGTAGCGAGCAGCGAGCAATCATCCCTCAACCAAGTCAAAAGTGTTCAAAATAGGTAACAATTCAAAACTTATTTCATCCATCCTCATCAAATCCTCTTCACAATGTAACTCCCGAATCTTTCCATTTTTATTATATTAATTAGCTAATCAATTGGGCAATTATTCTATTAATTGGCTAATTAATTAGTTAATTATTCAATTATACCCAATTAAACACAAATCAAGAACCTAGCCCACAAAGAGAGCCAAGTGGCCGGTCCTCTCTCACCTAAGGAGGCCAGCCACTCCCCTATAAAAGGCCTCACATTCTCTCCAAAACTCACTTCCAATTCTCTGGCTAAAATTCTCTAAACACTTTTCCCTCAAAATTCTAACTTTGGCATCGAAGGTTCTTCGGCCAAAGCCACCCCCCCCCCACAAAAAAATTCATCGTGGGCGCGTGAGGTTCTTGGCCTTAACCTAAGGTGTTATTTGTTTTGTAGGTGCAATTTTGTCCAAGAACAAGGAGGAAGAAATTTGCATCCACAAATTGGTGTTTTCATTGAGAGTTGAGTCCCACATTCGTAGGAGACTCTCACATCCAAGGTTTTTCTATTTTCTTGTCCATTTGTAGATTTTTCGTATGTTTTTATTATTAGAATTTTTAGTTGCGAAAATTCTTTGATAAAATGTAAAAGAGAAGTACAATGGCTAGAAATTTAGAAAATTCAACATGTGAAAATTCCAACATTCAAGATATAAGACCGCGGTGATCCACGAGGCTAAATATGGCAATAAGTGAAGCGGCACCACCATGACGAGTTTCCACCACAGGAACCACCACAATGGCCACCACGGTAGCCACCCACGACGAGGTTCATGGTGTCACCACCACGGCCCGAGCCGTGCCATCTAAGCAAACCCAAGTTATGCCACCCAAAGCTCACGGCACCAAGGCCATAGCCCAAGCCATGTCACTCCGCGTCCAACGCGAGCCCAACACATTGCCAAGCCGAGCTCAAGCTTCGTACTCGCGTGCATCACACGCCGAGTAGCTCGTTCCTGCGGCCCAACTTGCTCCCGTGGTTTCCCAAGCAGCTCAAGTCAGCCCGAGACTATCTCAACCATCAGGACCAACCATCGAGCTGGCGGCATTCTCACCATATTTCTCTGCGGATTTGACATTTCCCAACATAAATCTCGCGCCCGGAGTTTATCACCCTTCTACTGCTCAAGGAGGCACATTTCTTTCAAGCTCTTCCAATCCAAATGGCGAACAACACTTGTCCCAACAAGTTATAAAGTTGATGAGTTCCCTTGCACAAGACGACCTTGGTTAATCAGCTCTTGCAACGCACAAAGATCCAACGTGCCCAAGACGAGGTGTCCCGAAGTAGGACGAGGGCAGACGAAGAACCTCTCCAATAATGTCCCGGTAAGCAGCCACTCAACCAACCACTCAACCACCACGAACCGAGCATTTGGGCAGCATACAATCTCGATTAGACCCCTGAGATAGCGTATACTCTTGTCTCAGCGCGTAGAAAAGCGTGCACTCTCGACTAGACCTACGTGTAAGTATACACTCACGGTTGGGACCACACACCGGTGATCAACATGAGCAACCTTCTAGGCAAATTGTTTATTTGCGACTAGGCCAACAATAAGCAACTTCCATATCTCATCGGAGTAGGCAGCACGATGAGCGAAGAGAATCAGTTACTCAACCCGGCTCAAGTTCAACCGGCAGCCTGCAAAGAATTCCCTTGCCTGCTAGGAATAGACCACATGCAATGTCGCCGTGGCATAAACAAGCCGAGAACATAGAAGAGTAGCCTAGATCAGCATGTCAAAATTAGGGGCAGCCAAAAGCTTCGCTACCCCAACAAAGACAAATCCAATAAAATGTAGGGAGACTCCTCAACGAATGATTACATGATTTCCAACGCAATGAAGTGGCCAATGAAGCACTACAGCGGGATATGACCAACATGAGCAGGTCACCATTCATAGATGAGATCGAGTAAACAGAGCCTCCACGCAAGCTTAGCATGCTACACTTCACATCTTTCAAGGGAGATGGAAATCTGGAGAGTCACTTGAAGCACTACCGAAGCGCGATGGTCCTTTATCGGAACAACGATGCCCTTATGTGCAAAATATTCACCACCACCCTATAAGGTGAGGCGCAAAATTGGTTTCACACCTTGCCACGACGATCCATCCGGAATTTTGATGATCTTTCCTTGGTTTTCACCAAATAATACTCATCATACCGGTCGATCAAGAAAAAGTCCGACCATTTGTTCAACATGAAGAAAAACCCAAATGAGTCGCTCTGTGACTACGTAAAAAGGTTCAAAGCAGATAAGGCAAAAATCGTCGGATGAGACGACTCAATAACAAGTATAACATTCCAAAAAGGACTCCCAGCAGAGCACCCACTGTTTGGAGAAATGATCATGAAAGAAGACTTAACTTTAGCATATTCCTTTGCCCTGGCAAATAAACATGCACTTTGGGACCAGAAATAAGCTTCAGCTGCCATAGTCTTCACGACCTCCTTGGTAGCCTTGTTATACCTGCATCATAGCAAGCATAGCAGTCCTTTTATATTGGGTCGTATGCTTCGCAAAGGAACTTGGCAAACAACTTTTCTAAAACCATCAACAAACTTGGTACAAACGTCCATGTCTTCAAGCATATTTGGTTTCAAAAGCACACAGATCTCAACAGCCTCCCCAGAAGCAGGCTTAGTGGATTTCTCACAGCTACCCACGCGAGTAGTCTCCTCTTTCCCAACAGGCGAATTAGTCTCAGTAGCAGAGGGAGTGGGTTTTGGCATCACTTTAGCAGCAGAGTCTACCTTATCGCTCTTCATAATAACAAGCATCTCCAAAGGTGAACCAGACTTAGCTCTCAATAGACGTCTTGGTACAGATTTCAACACTGGGGGCATGACAAGACCTTTACGCTGAGCAATTCTATCAGCAATCATACTAGCCATTCTCGACATGGTATGCGCCACATGCTCAGATCTAGCAGCCTCATTTTTCTTCCCATTGGAAGAAGTCATGTCGATCACAAGCCTCTTGGCAGCAGGCGGACCTTCATAAGCAGTGGATGAAGTCTTCAGTTTTTCTAAACCAGCATCTTTTGAGCAGGCGGGGAATATCTCTTTTTTCCACCTTCATTCATAGTAGGCTCCACGACAACGTTCAGACAAGCCAATGCATCTGCCTTGATCCTCTTTACCTTCTCTCTCGGGAGCAGCCTACCTTTCTCCTGGCAAAGAGGTTTAAGCAGTCAACGTCATTCACAGTACTTAGCAGGAAAGCTCAACCCATACCGGTATTTCCCTTATTTTTCTCTTAAACTAGCAGGCAAGAGGCCTGCATACCCAGCATTTCAACAGCTCATAAGGCTTGCGACCTCTTCGTTTCTCTCAATCACCGACCTGGCCCGCATCAGGTCCAAGAGCCCAAAGGACATGAGTTATGCGGCTCACCTAGCACCTCGCCCCAATGCCTCAATCCGCAGCCTCAGCCGCACGGCTGCCCTTGCCTTTAGCCAAACCAAGCAGTGGTCCTTGCCATAATATTTCCTCAGCCTATGCCGAGCCAACTCTTGGCCCCTGCCAGCCGACGTGCTGCACCATCCCAACGGCTGCCCCACGACAGCACTATCCAAGAAGAAGATAAGGAAAATTAATTTTTTTTCTTACTTCGGTGTACCACGGAGAAGACAAAGAAAGCAACAAAAGACAGTCATTTACACAGGCAAGTATAGAAGATTGCTAGGGGAGGGAGAACGAATATCCTCTAGCTTTCTCTATCTTGCAGGGTAGAATAAATTGCTCTCCAAAGCTGATTTAATAATCCAGTTAAGGTGGACTTAAATAGGTTTTGAGAGAAATTTATTTCCCTTTCCTAAAAGGATTTAATTTCCAATTAAAGAGGGAATTTACATCAAAATATGAAGCAATCCTATGTTTCCTAGAGCAAGAAGATCTCTATACCTGATACCCTTTCCTACAAGCAGCCCAACAGGTGTAGGGGCATTTGTGGAGCCAAAAATAATCAAGAGGCGACACATGGATTTTTGGATGAAAAGGACAAAAATACCCATATCGGGATTCTTACGCACGAGCAGCGGGCAATCATCCCTTAACCAAGTCAAAAGTGCCCAAAATAAGTAACAATTCAAAACTTATTTCATTCATCCTCATCAAATCCTCTCCACAAGGTAACTCCCAAATCTTTCTCTTTTTATTATATTAATTAGCTAATCAATTAGGCAATTATTCTATTAATTGGCTAATTAATTAGTTAATTATTCAATTATACCCAATTAAACACAAATCAAGAACCTAGCCCACAAAGAAAGCCAAGTGGCCGATCCTCTCTTACCCAAGGAGACCGGCCACTCCCCTATAAAAGGCCTCACATTCTCTCCAAAACTCACTTTCAATTCTCTTGCTAAAATTCTCTAAACATTTTTCCCTCAAAATTCTAACTTTGGCATCGAAGGTTCTTCGGCCAAAGCCCCCCCCCAAAATTCATCGTGAGTGCGTGAGACTCTTGGCCTTGGCCTAAGGTGTTATTTGTTTTGTATGTACAATTTTTTCCAAGAACAAGGAATAAGAAATTTGCATCCACAATTATAGTGCAAATTTTGCTTCATGAAATAAAAGAACCATGCAGTCACATGTAAAACAAAGAATCATGCCATCAGTTGCCAAATTGAACAAAAAACCTTTATAATTAATACACAACTTGACACACTAAATGTTATAATACAAGTGGTTTGAAATTTTTTTTTTCAAGTGTCTAACCACTTGTATTATGACATGTAATGTGTCTTGTTCCCGACACATTGAAAAATCTCTCGTCATTCACACATGAGCATATGAGATGTTATGATTAATTAGTTTTCATATTTATAGACACCGAATTTTGGTACACCTATTGAAAAATGCATAAATCAATAACGAAAATAAAAAAAACAATGCAAGAAAAGAAAACGGGAGTGAAAATCACTACCCTTGAATTATGTTGATATAAAATAAGAGAGCAACCCAAAAACATAACTTGCATTTCAAGTATATGTAAAACCCCAAATAAATAAATAAATAAATAAATAAAACATAACTTCTATTCATTCTTCCAAGCATGCAAGATCAGTGAGAACCCAAAATCCTGCAACTGGTTATCTCTCAACTCCTGAGAGGAGGATGACCAACTCAACACAGAAGGATCCATAACTGGCAAACCAGTCCATAACTTCTGCTTTCATCTGCTGCAACATTGATGCAAGTTTGGAACATGAAAACTGCATCTCCCATTGGATTCCCAAACAGCCAATTGTGCACATCCCAAAACACCTCAACTCTCATCCCATCTACCACAATTGTGTGATTGCCTCTAAACTTCCAGTTCAACCTCTTTACCTGCATCAGGAAATTCGGTTTAGGCCAATAAATATTTTCATAACTCGGGTTTTTGTGCGTAAATGTTTTATTTTCAATGAAATTATGATTTTAGAACACATTTAATTTATTTGTAACACACGAAATAGTGTTGATTGACTGAACCCTAATTTTGAAAATGTACCTGCAACACAGTCTTGCTGTCAATGCTGATTACAAGATATGGCTCATGGAGGCCCCCGGCAGTTTCACACTCAATTTTCAAGTCATGGGTTTTGCCCAAATCACAAAACTGTGCCTTTGCTCCATAAAATTTTTTCCCAAAAATGTGCTCTCTTTTCGCTACGAATTCGGCTTTGGATTTGGATTTGAACTTGGAATTGGACTCATCACGGCTTTTGAAATCCTCCCTCCTCAAGTCCCCAAGAAACAGAACCATTTCTTGATCAAACATAAGAGCTAGATAAAACTTCTCCAATGGCTCAGGTCCTGAACCAAATTTGGCATTTGTTAAATCCCAAAAGATGTCGATTTTCGTAGAGTCCACCTCCAAATTCTTCAACCCTTTCCTCTTGGAGAAAATCCATGGCTTAATCTCAACTCTGCAGAGGCAATGACCGGCTACATCATCGATTTCGATGGCGAGGCTTTGCCCCATCAGATTCTTGGTCCATGTCACAGTGATCAAACACAATCTGCTCTTTAATTTGCATTGGTAGACGCAGGATACCAAGTTCTGGGCAGTTTTTGTGGCTCTCGACGAGGAAGATGATGACGAAAAATCTGCAATTTGAACCCCATTTTCACCAAAACAAGAAGGGAAGTCCCTCATCGTAAGCATCAATCAACAAAAAGATGACAACTTGCAGACGTATGTTATGCCAGTTCGCCAGGTAGCGTGTCTGCTCTTTTGCACCCAGTACAACCTCCCTCCCGGTAAACTAAAGCTGTTTAGAATCTCGCTTTTGTCGAGTAAACAAAGATGGATGATTTCTTTCTGATTCTTTCGAGTTCTGCCAAGAATTTGAGGTGAAAAGAAAGAATGCAGCCGGCAGAAAACTGGGTTACACAGAGAAAATGATTCCTACGCTAGTTGGCAAGAACAATTTGTCCGCCACTACAACCGAGTCTGAATGCATGCAACTTGAGGTGAAAAGAAGGAATGCAGGCAGCAGAAAATTGGGTTGCAAAGAGAAAAGGACACCTACCTCAGAAAATTCAAATTTGATACGAACCTAAGCGCCCATCATTCAAATTTTCCAACTTGCAGCTTAGCTTCAGAAAGCTCCATTTTTTCCTCTGGGATTTTGCCTTTTGAGGTCCAGAAAAAGACCCAGAATTTCGATAAGAATTTGAAAAACTGAATTGATAGAGAGAGAGAGAGAGAGATGAAATCACATGGGGAGAGATTAGAGAGAGAGAAAAATGGAAAAAGAAAGGGGGTGCAAAAGGGTTTGGATTTTGCTGGGAAAAGGTTGGGTTTGCATAAATGACCAAAGAAAAGGGGTCTTTTTCATTAATGGGCAATTGGGCACTGTTTTCTTTCTTTGTCCATAATTGAAAGAATCATGAATGGGACCCCTACCCTCCTCCCTTTAACTGACTTTGCACATGCGTTGCATTTTTGGAGAATTCGGATCCTCGTCGGATCTATCAATCTTGTCTGTTCATCGTATATTATACGGTCATAAATTATTTTAAATATTTCTATTTAAAATTAAACACAAACAGTACTTGATAAAAACTGACCGCACGATCTACGATGAACATATATGATTCACGAATCTCTAGTATCCTCACCAAAATGATCCAAAGAGGATCCTGTTGGTTTTTGGAGTTGAAAATACAAACAACAAATGCTCGAAACACAAACTTGACTTAGAGTAGCGTGTTCACTTCGTTGTTTTCAAGTTTGAATAACAGACACACCAACACTTAAAAATTTTCGTCAGCATGGAGTTGTTAGGGGGATAAATTCAGCAATACCTCACAAACTTATGATTTTGTTTTAGTCTGTGTTCACAACTTTTAATTTGGTTACGAATCTCGTAATCTTTAAAAATGTGTCAATTTTCAATCTATCGTATGAATTATCGTACTTTTTTGTTAGCTTTCTCCATTAATAGATGAAAATAACTCTTAATTTAACGAAAAAGTTGAGGGATTTGACTATAGAGGGCAAATTGGTTGTCATCTTTGTCAAGTGAGACAAAGAAAGTTTCTTTAGCAGAAATACAGCAAAATCAAAAGTTGTTTTGTTAAAAGTGAAAAAAAAGGAAGAGACAACATAATGATATATTTACATGCTTAACTTGATGTGATGAATTAGTTATGCCTAACATCTATCTATAATATATAAAGTCTGAGCCCCACTTTTGGATCACGATTTCGACAAAAAATAATAGGACAAAATTGTCCCTCAATCAAAAAATTCAAAAGGGGTCTAATATAATATGTCAAATAATACATGGGTAACTTGGTAATTTGGTTATTATAAAATATAATATAAATATAAGTGGGAAGAGAGAAAAGAATAAAAAAATGGAAGGATGAGTGAAAGTTGATGGTGCCTATGTGAAGGGAAAAAAATATAATAAAAAAATAAGAAAAATCATGAATATTGTGTTTAAAACATTTTAAGAGCTGTGTAATGCTGATTATAAAAAAAAATGTTTCGGACACGGATAATAATGTGATTAAATAAATTGTCAAATGATTGTTTTTTTTTAACAAACGATATCATCTACACCAAGGGAAATGAGATGGGCTTAGCCTCACAACAGGCTAGCAATAATGTGATTCAATCAGTTGTTTATTAAATATTATTTTCTTTATAAAAAAGGTATTTCACACGCGAATATTAATGTGTTTAAATTAATTGTCAAGTTATTATTATTTTTTTTTTTAACAAACGATATTATTTATACTAAGAGGGATGGAGGTGGGCTTAGTCTCATAATGAGCTAGCAATAATATGATTCAATTAATTGTTTATTAAATATTATTTTCTCTATTCTTAATGTAAATTCTATAGAAACCGACTTTATTATGTGAATTCAGCTGTTTTAATTGGTTTATGAGGGGTTTCTTCTAGCATAATCTAAAATTATTCACTTACTTCAAATATTTGACTTTTCTTTTGTTAATTTACGCATATAAATAAATTTAAAATATGTAAGTCATGCGTAACGCACCGTGATTCAAAAAATGCCTTTTGCACGCTCGTGAATACGTGCATAAAGGCTAGTTATATATAAAGAGAGTAGAAAAGGTGAATGGTGTTTTGGTGTCACCAAGCTTCAACATAAAATAGTTGGACAAAAATGCCCCCAAAACAAAAAACTTCAAAGGCATCGCAAAAAAATGTATCAAATAAGGCAGGGGCATTTTAGTCATTTTAATAGTAGTTTTTTTAATAATAATTTGTGTGTGTGTGTGTGTGTTTTTTTTTTAGTTAGTAACTCACAATAGGCTAACAATAATGTGATTTAATTTCTCTATTTTTAAACATGTTCAAAAAGTCTTAAAAGGCGTGTAATGTCGGTTATAAAAGAGATCATTCGCATGCGGATAATAATGTGACTAAATTAGTTGTCAAATGATTGTTTTTTTTTTTTACACGTTCAAAACATCTTACGAGGCGTGTAATGCTTGTTATAAAAAGGTCATTCGCACGCAAATAATAATGTGATTAAATTAGTTGTCAAATGATTTTTTTTTTTTTTTAACAAATGATATTATCTACACTAAGGGGGAGTGGGGTGGGCTTAGCCTTACAATGAGATAGCAATAATGTGATTCAATCAGCTATTTATTAAATATTATTTTCTCTATTTTAAACACGTTCAAAACATCTTAAAAGGCGTGTAATGCCGATTATAAAAAAGTCTTTCGCACACACGAATAATAATGTGATTAAATTAGTTAGCAAATGATTTTTTTTAACAAACGATATTATCTACACTAAAGAGAGGGGATGGGCTTAACCTCACAATGAACTAGCAATAATGTAATTCAATCAATTGTTTATTAAATTTTTTTTTTTTTTTTAAACATGTTCAAAACATCTTAAGAGACGTGTAATGCCGGTTATAAAAAAAGGTCTTTCGCACGCGGATAATAATGTGATTAAATTAGTTGTTAGATGATTGTTTTTTTTTTTTTTTAAATAAACGATATTATCTACACTAAGGTGGAAGGGGTGAGCTTAGTCTCACAATTGGCTAGTAATAATGTGATTCAATCAATTGTTTATTAAATGTCTGTTATAAAAAAAGTCTTTCGCACGCAGATAATGATGTGATTAAATTAGTTGTCAAATGATTTTTTTTTAACAAACGATATTATCTACCCTAAGGGGGAGGGGGTGGGTTTAGCCTCACAATAGGCTAGCAATAATGTGAATTAATCAATTGTTTATTAAATATTATTTTCTCTATTCTTAATGAAAATTCTATAAAGACTGATTTTATTATATGAATTCAACTGCTTTAATTGGTTTATGAGGGGTTTCTTCTAACATGATCTAAGATTATTCATTTACGGACATGGATCCTCTCCGGATCCAATTGTCCTAATCCTAGGGATCCATCAATTCGGACCATTGAAATTTGATCCAACGGCTAAAGTTATTATAACTTTTAAAGTGAGCCCCTGTTTGTAGCCATTAGATTAAATTTCAAAGGTCCGGATTGATGAATCCTTAGGATTAGGACAATTGGATCTGGAGAGGATCCATGTCCTTCATTTACTTCAAATATTTGACTTTCCTTTTGTCAATTTACGCATACAAATACATTTAAAACATGTAAGTCGTGCTTAGCATGCCGTGATTAAAAAAATGTCTTCTGCACGCGCGTGACCACGTTCATGAAGGCTAATTTTAATTATTTGGTTTCAATTTGTTCTCACCATCCATGATTTCAAATAGTAAAAAGCATAACCATAGGCTATTTTATTCTAGTTTTACAATTTATTCTTATTTCCCGTTGTGTGCACAATTCTTTATGTATCTTGAGTATGGATCTAGGTGTCAACAAGAATATGAGCTCATTTGAAAGTGATTTTAAGATAACTTAAAGAGGTTTTAGAGAAAATGTTTTTGATTTCAAAAGCACTTGAATTGTTTTTCCAGAGTCACTTATGTATTTACTTAAGAATTGGTTCCAAAAACATTTTCACAAAAAACATTTTCAATTATTTTAAAAGTATTTCCAAACGAGCTCTAAATCTCTACGTTTTTGTAGCACTTTTCATATATCTCGTCATAGTATGCTACGTACCAATCTCTCCATAATTTAGTGTTTTATAAGAATACCTGATGCCAACTTAAGAGCGCTATGGGGGAGGAAAATGAAAGGTCTAGGTTGGGGCATGGAAATGAACTTGTAGGCAAGATTGCCCTTGACCGAAACCACTCATTAGTTGTCATAGGAGACCAAGCCTTCCCTATTGCGGTGCCAAAACTGCCTATTTTAATTTAGGAAAATTAATAAAAAAAGCATGGAAACTTTAAGTTTTAATTAAAATGACAAAAGGTATTGTAAGTAAATAGTACCAGGAATGATTTTTTATAGTAAAAATATTCTTTTTCGTTAAAACGAACAGTACCGGAAGTGTTTCGTTAAAACTCCATTTTAATTTAAACCCATAGTTATCATTTGCTTTTTGGGTAGAAATCTAAGCCAAGGATTACACACTCCACTCAACTCCTCTTTTATTTATTTATTTATTTATTTTTCTTTTCTCTTTTTGGCAGGCATTTTGGTTGGTAGGAAAAGAAGAGGTCCATTTGATAATCATAATAATTATGGATGTTGTGGAAGTGATTAACTTGGTTTAACACAATAAATTGTAGCACCAACAGTTATGATGATTTACTCATACATTTGAGAGGCTTGACGCCCCTTCTTGAGTCATGACACATGTTCTATTAAAAGATGGGCCGATGATATGGTATGGTGTCAGTAACGCGTCACTTGACCAATAAGTCTAAAGAAATTCAGTTTCTGATTAGTTAAAGGAGATTTCATATTCAACTCACAGTAACACGATAACGATATTTGAATATCGTTATCTGGCATAAATATGAAAATGAAAGGGTTTGTTGATGACTTGGTGAAGGGTTTGCCCCACCTTGAACTAACTGATTGGACTAACATAGTCTATGTAAGTCTAGATTAGAAGAAATTTTTTAGTGGCTAGAACATGGCCCGTAACACCAAATGTTGTCATAATACAATTGGTCGGAAATTCTTTAAGTTTCTAACTAATTGTATTATTACATGTAGTGTTCCGGGCCGTGTTCTTGGCACCCTAAAAATCTCTCCTAAATTAGGGATGGACCTACAAAGAAGTTCGTAAAAAAATGATAGACCATTCAAGCTTAACAGAAAATTATTAAGATGTTGTATGCACTCATTTTTCTATCTTACTTAAGAGAGCAGCAATTTTTATGAAAAAAGCTATCATTCTCCCTCTCTGTATCTTTCTCTCTTTCTTTCTCTCGAGCATGCGTGATGAAAGGGAATTAAGGACTTATTGTATGTAATCAAGGCAATTTAGTACCTTTTTTTTACCTTTACTGGTGCAATGAATGTGCATCCACCTTTGAGATCCCAGCTGCATGCATCGAGTTCGGATTTCTAAAGAAAGGGTTTTGGATCCGAACTCGACGATTCAGGTTTGGGTTTGGAATCCCCAAGCATCGCGTCCTGTGACTAGATTGCGGTGCATATTTGTTGACGCAGAGTTGCGAAAGAGAGGAAGGAGAAAAAATATAAGGAAAACTAATGAAAAGGACTTGAAAACTTTGAATTTTAACGATAATAACAAAATAAAAGGTAAAATAAATAGTACCAGGATTGATTTTTTTAGTGTAAAAATATGATTTTTCGTTAAAGTGAACATTACTATGAACTTTTCGTTAAAACTCCCAAAAATGTAACCCTATTGGCGAGAATGAGTTGGGTGACGGTAGATGTAGGCCAGGTCCAAGGTTCGAAACGTGAAACATGTAACCGAAAAAATATCCTGCAATTCAAGTTGTGTTATGACCCCAAGTAAATTGTATTTTTCTTTAACCTATTGACCACATCACGATTCATGAGCATCCAAGCAAAGTTACATACACGAAACTCTTAGTCACCTTCGATTCAACCGGAAAATTAGGAGTACAAACCGTCAAAGAAATCCGACTGCACACTTGTGCATTCGTAAAAGTCTCCGGTGTCGTTTAAATACAGAGGTGTTGTTTCCAAATTTGGTCACATCAACATTGTTATATTAAGGCTTTAATGCTATACAGGAACGGTGAGTGTGTGTTTTGTCCATCATTGAAGTCCCAGTTGGAATGCTCGAAACTGTGTCCACCCGATGCTGTAGGAACGATGCTTGTCACGCAAGAAACATGTGATTCCAACAGTGAGCTTCCGGCTTTTAAATTCTCTGGGTTCCCCAACTTCAGATAGGTTTGATATTCGCCGGACCATAAGTTCCAACTGCATACAATTTGAGATAAACAGGTGAAAACCTATTACATATTGGTCAAGAGAAAAAGAAAGCATCGGATGTAAAAACATGCCAAGAATTCGGGTTCCTGAGCTATTTTTTGAAAACAGGGTTCATATCAACACGAATTCTTGATAGAGCAAGAAATTTCAAGGAGGAACCTAATATGATATGATATGATTTTCTTTTCATTTGAAAAAAATACATGAAGAAAAAAGAAAAAGAAAAGAGGCAAACAGCACAAACATCTTCCTTGTAAAAACAGCATAAACGTCAAAACCAACCAACACCCCCTCAACTACCCAAACGAAAAGGGGGAAAATAAAAGAAGATTCAAACAACGGAAAGTCAAATTTATATGAAAGAAAAGCATAGAAACCGTAGTAAGCTCCATGAAAATATGAACTCCAACAGACCATGCTGCAAAAAAGTTACAGTTCTTTGCCCTGAAACCAAACTTTCATCAAAACTTGTGTATTATGAACTCCAACAGACCATGTTGAGCAGAAAGACGCACCAAAACCACCACTCAAAGACAATGTACTTAACACTATTACTATTACATGTCCCTAATTGAAAGTACTTAAACAAATGACCAGCGACATATATTCTGATATACCTATAAAATGTCCCTAATTGAAAGTACCGATACTTGGAATCCAATAGCTAGTACTTATACATATGACCAACTACATATATTCTGATCTTACCTATTACATGTCCGTAATTGTGAGTACCTATCTATGCCTGACATTTTGAGCTATCTAGGCTGCCTCCGTCTCATTCAACAAGTAAACAAAAATTTAAACAGATATCTACTCCTAGTTCAGTGATTGCATTTTTAGTACTGAAATCCCCCCAGTTCAATTCTTCCTCATGTACGACTTATCAAATTCAAAATACAAAGTACAAGCTCCTTCCTAAACATTTAAATTTTCTGCCATCACATGAAAATCTACACAGAACTCCAACAAGACGTGGCAAGTAGTCATCAGTTTCTATAAACATTAGATCTAACAAACTCCAACAAGATGAAGGGAACGAAAACAAAGAAGCAACATTCTGAAGCTCAAAACCATCAACCACAAGAGTGACTGTTTAGAATCTGTAGATTCAACTTCTAGCAGTAGCGAACAGTGGAGTTTTGCAGGGATTGAGAACTGAGAATGCAATCACTAGCTTGGTTGATTTCCACAATTTGATATCTAATGCATTCAAAAGTTAATATCTTTAAGCACCAAAATACCAGATGCTAAACAAAACAAAGCATCCAATTCAATACTGCTCAACATCAACTAGTAACATACATGACATAATTCATGAAATTGCGAAAAAGAAGTAACATCTCAGGTAAAAGTAAACATACATGCAACTAAGTATCAGCAAATTCAATCTCTTTTTCCTTCCCCGAAAAAGGGTTGTGAGTAGGCCCAACATCCTGCCCAATATGGCGCTGAACCAGTCGCTGCAAATCCGCCAAAACCTTGTGCTCGCACTTCGCTTTCTCCTCGTAGTTGAACATGGCCAAAGCCCGCTTATCCTCAGCACTGTAAACCTAGTTTTCCTTCCTAATACGAATGGCATTCATTCTCTGGTGCCTACTACCGCTCATTACGTACTCAAGATTCTCAAGCTTCTGAATCTCGTCAGCCGAAAGACCCACTTCTCCTATCCACGGAATACGTTTCCCCTGCTGAACATATTGTGCAATGGCATCACCTTCACCAGGCCTAAGAGCCCCACCATAACTAATATGCCCCTCAACTCTACGCAACGGCATTGGCCCAACCACTGGTTCATTGTCCAGTGACAGCATCTTCTGAGACTCGAAAATATGAACTCCAACAGACCATGCTGCAAAAAACTTACAGTTCTTTGCACTGAAACCAAACTGTCATGGAAACTTGTTTATACTAGAGCAGAAGGATGCACCAAAAACAACCACTCAAAGACAATGTACTTAACACTATTACTATTACATGTCCCTAATTGGAAGTACTTAAACAAATGACCAGAGACATATATTCTGATATACCTATAAAATGTCCCTAATTGAAAGTACCGATACTTGGAATCCAATAGCTAGTACTTATACATATGACCAACTACTTAGATTCAGATCTTACCTATTACATGTCCGTAATTGTAAGTACCTATCTATGCCTGACATTTTGAGCTATCTAGGCCGCCTCCGTCTCATTCAACAAGTAAACAAAAATTTAAACAGATATCTACTCCTAGTTCAGTGATTGCATTTTTAGTACTGAAATATCCCCAGTTCAATTCTTCCTCATGCACGACTTATCAAATTCAAAAAGCGAAGTACAAGCTCCTTCCTAAACATTTAAATTCTCTGCCATCACACGAAAATCTGTACAGAACTCCAACAAGACGTGGCAAGTAGTCATCAGTTTCTATATACATTAGATCTAACAAACTCCAACAAGATGAAGGGAACGAAAACAAAGAAGCAATATTCTGAAGCTCAAAACCATCAACCACAAGAGTGACTGTTTGGAATCTTTAGATTCAACTTCTCGCAGTAGTGAACAATGGAGTTTTGCAGGAATTGAGAACTGAGAATGCAATCACTAGCTTGGTTGATTTCCACAATTTGATATCTAATGCATTCAAAAGATAATATCTTTAAGCACCGAAATACCAGATGCTAACAAAACAAAGCGTCCAATTCAATACTGCTCAACATCAACTAGTAACATACATGACATAATTCATGAAATAGTGAAAAAGAAGTAACATCTCAGGTAAAAGTAAACATACTTGAAACTAAGTATCAGCAAATTCAATCTCTTTTTCCTTCCCTGAAAATGGGTCGTGAGTAGGCCCGACATCCTGCCCGATATGGCGCTGAACCAGTCGCTGCAAATCCGCCATAACCTTGTGCTCGCGCTTCGCTTTCTCCTCGTAGTTGAACATGGCCAAAGCCCGCTTATCCTCAGCACTGTAAACCTGGTTTTCCTTCCTAATACGAATGGCATTCATTCTCTGGTGCCTACTACCACTCATTACGTACCCCAGGTTCTCAAACTTCTGAATCTCGTCAGCCGAAAGACCCACTTCTCCTCTCCGAGGAATACGCTTCCCCTGCTGAACATACTGTGCAATGGCATCACCTTCACCAGGCCTAAGAGCCCCACCATAACTAATATGCCCTTCAGCTCTAGGCAACGGCATTGGACCAACCACTGGTTCATCGTCCAGTGACAGCATCTTCTGAGCCTCGAAAATCTCCTTAAACTTCAATGCCTCCGCATTACTCTCATCCTTCATCACCTCCTCTTCCACTAAAGCAGCAGCCTTGGCATCAACCTCAGAATCCAAACCCTTCTCCTCCGAATCCGATTTCTCACTCTCCATTTCAGTTTCCAACTCTTTCTTCTTACTCCAACTGCGAGACTTTCGCTGTTTCTTCTTCTTCTTTAAATCTGAACCCTCACTTTCACTGTCTTCGCTCTCATCGGACTCGCTACTGCTACTACTACTACGCCTGCTTTTCCTCTTTCTTCTCCTTTCTCTTCTGCTCCTGCTTCTCTTACTCCTACTTTTCGACTTCTTTCTCTGTCTCCGATCCTCCTCTTCATCCGATTCATCATCGCTTTCACTCTCACTCTCCGATTCGCTATCACTATACTTCGAGATCCTACTCCTACGCTTCGAACCCGAACTCTTCTTCCTCCTCCTCGACCTCAAATCCTCCGAATCCGATTCAGATTCGGACTCAGATTTTTCCTTCTCTTTCTTCTTATCCTTCGATTCCATCTCCTCTTCCTCGCCATACCGTTCCGAAATCTCATCAGCCTTGCCCACCAATTCGAACTCATCGTTCTCAACCCTAGGTGGGCTGGGAGTCAATTCCCAAATACAAAACTTCCCTGATTTCCTCATCTTCTGCCGCTTGAGCCTTCTGTATTCCTCGAAGCTCAGCCCCTTCAGCTCCTCGTCGGACTCCTCCGCTTCCGACCGCCTCCCCCAGTCCATATTCCCTCCCCGCCCGAATTTCTTCGGCAAAGAGTCCGGCCCCCCATTAGCCCTAGGACTTCTCTAGGGTTTGGGTAATCAGGCGTGCCCAAGCGATTTCGGTGGCGTCGGTTGTCGCGTCGGTCGTAGTCCTCATAGCTGGGGCTCCGACGCCGGGCCAAAGAGTCTGGGCCTCCCCTGTTGACCCTAGGACTTCGTCTGGGTGGCGAGCCCGAAGGGTTTCGGTGGCGGCGATTGTCGTAGCTTTCGTAGATGGGGCTGCGACGCTGGTAGCGGTTGTCGCCGGAGGAGTCGGAGTGCCGTGGGTATCGCCCGTTCTCGTGATCGGAACGCTGTCGTCTGTCGGGGACGTGGATGGTGGATGATGGCCTCCCCATCAGAGAACTTGAAGAGGGTCGGTAATGAAATTTCTGTTTCGGAAACATCTGGTACTTTGAATCTAATATTAAAAAAAAGGCTTGGGCTGGGCTTTTTTGTAATTTTATGGGCCTTAAAAAGCCCGACTTGTGATTATTCGCCGGCCCAAACATTTCAAAAGATGGGCTCTACCCCTATATAAAAGTTGCACAGTCAAATTCCGAAACCCTAAAAACCTCTCATCGCCGCCTCCTCCGCATACGCGCAAACCTCTCGCACATACAGTCCCATCCGAATACAGAGCGGAGGCGCAGAGAGAGAGAGAAGAGAGAGACAACCATGGCCGATACCAAGGCAGTAACGATTCGTACGAGGAAGTTCATGACCAACCGCCTTCTCTCCAGAAAGCAATTCGTGAGTCTTCTATCTTCTACTAGTGTACTTTCCCTGTTTGGTCAACTAGAAAATGCAGGAAAACGAGTTAGAAAATTACGCAGATGTGTATTTTTTTTACCCGTTTGGCTGATTTTACTCTGTGTTTTTGTGTTGATGCAGGTCATCGACGTTCTGCATCCTGGTCGACCCAATGTCTCAAAGGTTTGGTTTCTTTCCTCGAGCTTTCTGGTTCTTTCAATGGGGATTTGATTCTGTTTATTTGATGTTATTTCACTAGCTAATAGGAAATGATGAAATTTTAAATCACGGGTTTTTTTTTCAGTGGGATTTGATTCTGTTTATTTGATGTATTTGAGCTAGATCTATTTCTTTTGTGGATTTTATGTTTATGTAAGGTAGGTAGATTGCTTCTCTTTTCTTTTTTCTTTTTTTATATTGTGAAATTAAATTCATTGGAGAGATGGGAAAAGTACAATTGTAACAATGGTGCAAATAAGTGTTGATTAAAATGGTTTCTGTTTCTTTTTCATAATGAAGGCAGAACTGAAGGAGAAACTTGCGAGGTTGTACGAGGTGAGGGACCCAAATTCCATCTTCGTATTCAAGTTCCGCACCCATTTTGGAGGGGGGAAGTCCACTGGCTTCGGTTTGATTTATGATACCGTAGAGAATGCCAAGAAGTACGAGCCCAAGTACAGGCTGATCAGGGTAACTTTATCTTCCTATCACCCATCCCATTGTGTTACTTCCAAGTATTGTCATATAGCATATACGTGTGTTTAACCTCAATTGTCGTTCAAAATGTGCATTAAGTGTATCTTTATACTTATCTGGTATTGGCGGTTCGCTGTTACAGTGTTGGATTTAGGTGAATCCAATAGGTATTGGGGTTGAAACTGGCAGAAAGAGAGATTAGGAGAGAGAAATATGATCTTAAAATAACAATTCTCGCATGCGAGCTTGATACAAAATCCCTGTGAGGCCATTCATTAACTGTTGGCGGCGGTGCATCTGTCTGTTTAAGTCTGCTGATTTAGTCAGTATCAATTCCCTATCATGGTTTTTAGAATGTGTTCATACTTCATATTGTTGAGTATAATGTGTTTTACAGTTCCTTTTGGTGAGTTATGATACTATGTAGTTTCACAGTCTATAGGCATCTTTCACTCAAAGAATCAGTCATTAGTTTGGCATGAAATACATATGCCTCTGAAAGGTCGATTGTTGGACCTTATAAATTTTGAGATCTCTCCGTCTCTCTCGTTCCACACACACACACACACATGATTGTCTATTGCTCTCTCAAACTTGGCTACTTGTGCAGAATGGACTAGATACAAAGGTTGAAAAATCAAGGAAACAACTCAAGGAAAGGAAGAACAGAGCCAAGAAGATTCGTGGAGTTAAGAAGGTAACAATACTGTCATTGTTTTGTCCTGGTTAGTGTTAGTAAAATGTGATGGTGGTAGGGTCAGGGATAGTGTTTTTACCTTAAGCAGTGGGTAGACCTTGGAAACACTGGTACTCGAACCTTTTCATTGTTTTCTACTCAAAGTTTTACCCTGAACTTACGTTTTCAAATGTTATATGTGCAGACAAAGGCCGGTGATGCTGCCAAGGCAAAGAAGAAATGAGCTTCTGCATGTTTTGGGATCGTATGTGTTCGCAGGCGCAGGAAGGTTCCGTGTCATCAGCCTTGCTGCATCTTGTTATTTTCTTTTGTTAGCAAAGCATGAAATTTTGGATGTTTTAATTTTATCAAAAACGTTATGATGTTTTAGTGAGTTTTGCGGAGTGTTACGTATGTTCTAACTAGTCATTAAGGAAATTTGAAACTTCACCCTACCATGGTTCGACTTATGAGTGACATTGAACTTTTACTCGTACAATTCTCAATTCGCATGTTTATTTACTTGGAACGCGGAAAATGGATTTGAGAAGTTAGGAATACGGGGGAGAATGAATTCGAATAGGATCAGCTGTTCCTCCTAGTCGATATAATTCTTTGTTTCCAATGTGTTCAATTTTAGCACCATAACTTGAAGTAAGTCAGGGAATTAGAATGCCCAATTCCTTGGCATTCACCCAACAAACCTTGCAAAGCAAGGCAAATCCTCTTTTTCTAGGTGGGAAAGGTTCAGATATGAAATAAAAAAGTTTGGAAGTCTCACAATGCTCAATTATTAACTTTTTCATTTTTTGACGTCTTTTTTTTTTTTAGTACATCGATATTTTTATATTAAAGGGATGACGAATTCGACTAAGTTACATAATGATCAGCTTAATTTGTTTTGATTTAAAGTAAATAAAAATGTCAGTGATGTCACTATTTTTCTTTCCATAATCCATTCATTTATTAATTTGCTATGTAATTAAAGGGCATGACCATTTCATTGAACCACTTACCATTTTATCTTAATCTCGTAGGATTACTTACCTTAACCATGATGTGAATGTCCTTAATTCACACAAAGCTTCTAGTATTTACTTTCCTAATTATGCTTTGCACTTTTGCTTGGTGGGTGACAGAGTCTATTGGTCCACTCCCACGCACTCTCCTAGAAGCTCGCATATTACAGGACATGATCCAACGGATTTTGGTGAATCGCTGTCGACCCAAACGTAAACAAACTTGCAACTCTTCCGGTCAAGTTAGGAACATTGCTTTCCAATGTCCTTTGCTCCCTGTTTTTTTTTTCCTTTTAGGAAAACTTACGATAGAGGCTTGAGTTTTAATGATAAGGATAAAATAAAGGGTAAAGTGAATAGTATCATAATTGACTTTTTAGTGTAAAAATGTGGTTTTTCGTTAAAGTGAACATTACCGGGAGCTTTTTGTTAATTTTTTTTTTTTCTTTTCTAAAGAGACTAGTTGGTGGCTCTATCACTACAATTCACTATTTGGGAGCCAGAAACTCACATAAACATTTTAGCATTCCTTGACTACCATTGCGTAAGTCACCAACATCAATAATCGAACTCATAACGTGTATATATGTGAGTTATGTTGGTTACATCAAAGTTTGAAATTCGTAAATTATGATACTTCAGAATTTTGTATTATTTAATGACAAAAAGGGGCTAAAACCCAAAAATTTGGAATAAACTCAAGTATATTGATTAACAAATACTTCCTAGCGTAATGCTTCAACTAAAAGCCCATACGAATGTAGCTTGTTTTCTTCACGATTTATATAGGGGTGGGGCTATCCACACTACCCTTTTTATCTTTCACATATTTTTTCATTTTCGACTCTTGAATCAAGAGGATAAAAAAAATAGAAATTAACAAAAAATACATGAGAGATAAGTAGAAATACGTGGATAACACCACCATTTATTTACCCGCTTTAGTACAATTGTACATAGTTCTCCTGCATGTCATGCCTCATGTTTATGTGATGGGAAAAGGATCCTCATCAGATTCTTTTATTGGGGATTTGAGAGATCTTGTAATCATATTCGTTCATTATATATCATACGGTTATAAATCATTTTAAATTTAAAATTAAATATAAATAGTACGTAATAAAAACTGATCGTAAACAGACATAATTACGGAATCCCCCAGATTCCAAGATCCTTTTCCATGCTGATGAGCATGAACGTCCACCTTGGGAATTACGTGCATGTCTAAAAGTACTTCACAGGATTAAAAAAAATATATCCGACAACATTTGGCATAAAAAGTTAAAAATATTTACGCGTAATTGTGTTATGTTGCATGAGTATTCAATGTGTTTCTAATAAAAGCGATCTTGGGTTTTCTACGTAAACATTCTCAAATGGAAGACCTAGTTGCCTTTTTATTTTGCATGGTAGATGCATGGATGTATTTTGTTAGTTTTATTATTTGCACACTCTCTTTTCTCTCTCCTTTCATTCATTCTTTATTTAGGCTATCTCCAAACGAAAGCTGCCCAGATGGCTCGTTTTAGTTCTCTGGCTCTCCAATATATTAATATTTTAATAAACAGTACATGATTATATTTACCTCCATCTCCAACCGAGGGCCAAATGGCCATAGGGCTCGTTTTAGCCTTGTCACAAAAAAACGGTCTCTAACCAAGGACCATAGGGCCAAACATATTTATTATTTAAATTTAAAAACTACAACAACTTAAATTTAAAAACAACAACTTTAAATTTAAAAACTACAACTTAAATTAAAAAACGACAAATAAATTTAAAAACTACAAATTAATGGTGTAGGAATGGTGAAAATTTTGTGAGGAATGGTGAATGAATACTTTAGGTATTTATAGGAAAAAAATTAGAATTTTTAAGAATTAAAAAAAAAAAAAAAAAAAAGCATTCATGTCAGTTATATCTGACAGGATTGGTGTATTTTCTGGCCAGCCCTTTGGCCCTTTCAGATTCCATGGGGCCCTCTTAGATTCCACGAGCCCTCTGGCCTAGCACTTGGTTGGAAACGGTTTTCGGGTTATTTTCGACTCTCTGACCCTCTGGACACTTCGGTTGAAGATGGCCTTATATAACTTTTAGATTGAATAAATCAAATAAAAATCAAGAGAAGAAAAGAGTAAGTGCTAAAACATTAACGTTTAAGGCTAATAGTAACAGACTAAAATCCATTTAATATAATTTGACCAATTGTAAGATCTCAAAAGTTACTTCAAATCTTCAATACAAAGGAGCATAACTCAAAAGAAAGATAATTAAGAGCATGTTTACAAGTGTATTTTAAACGTTTTTAGTGAAAATATTTTTAAATTAATTTTTAGTAAAAATGTAAGTGCATTTTTTAAAAACGCTTAAAGTGCTTCTTATAAAAAGCTTGCAAGAAACATACATAAAACACTTTAGCATTTTAAGTATTTTTCAAACCAAAAACCATTTTCTGTAAATTGATACACGACATAATACTCCATGAATAACAATTGAACATCCCTCCTTTTGAACGACAAGGTTTGACTCATAAGCTACTCATGTTTTTTTTTTTTTTTTTTTTCATGATATTTTTTAAGATAAAAAAAAAACATTTTGACCATGTAGATGTGAATTAATTAATAGAAAAAGGTCCTATGAGAAAAGGACATAGGGCCATGTGACCAAAAAAAGAAAAAAAATAATAAAAAAGTAATTTTCCAATTGGGATGTAATTTATGGAGGGAAAACCACAAAATCCCCCGCAAAAATAAAATTAAAAAAAAAAAAAAAAGGCAAGGGAAAGCTTTTCTCTTAAACCTTGCAAGCCCCAAGGCTCCCTGTCTCTATCAACAACTCCAACTCACTCTCTCTCTCTCTCTCCTCTGTCTTTCTCTCTTCCTCTTCCTCCCGTTAAACTCCTTCAATTCCTTCCCCAATTTCACAAAGCGCCATGGCTGAATCGCTGAAGCTACTGTATGACGTGCCGCGCACGTGCTCGTGAGGGAGGCATCAGAATATCTCCGGTGTCTTTGCTTGCATTGACTGGGGGCTTCGTCAACCCATTGTCGCGGTTGGTGATCTGGTCAGTCCGTACACGTTCAAAAACATCACTGATTTCATATATCTATGTATGTATATATTTTTAAATAAATATTTTCTTTAATTTTTGGTTACAGGGTAGGGTTAGTTCTTGAGAGAGAAGCTTTCTAGCTGTTGGGTTTGTGTAATTAAGTTCAAAGCTGAAGTGGGTTTTCTGGGATTAGGGTGTACTGTGAGAGATGTTGAGATCTGGGAAGGTAAGGGGTGAGAGGGATAAGCAAATTGGTGTTCAGATGAAAGGGGATGAGTTGAAGCAGGGAGGTTCGGATTCCGGCGGGGAGAAAACCCGGCATTTGGTTTCGGTTGGGGCGGAGGAATCTGAGAAAGAATTGGTGGGGGAAGGTGGAGAAGATGGTGATGTGGGTGGGAATGAAAATGGTGGAGCAACTGAGAGTGGGAAGAAGAGGTGTGTTGGTAACGGTGAAGAAATTGGTGATGATAAAAAGAGAGTAAAGGAAAAAGAGGCAGATGGTGAAGTGCGAATTTTCGGGCGGGTTTTGCAATCACGGTCAGCGGCAAATGGAAGGGGTGATAAGGAGGTGAATGATGGGGAACTGGTTGCGGAACATAGAGAAAACTTTGAGACTCAGAAACAATGTAGTGAGGTTAACAACAAGGGGAGGAAGGAAATGGAGGTGGATGGTAAAGTGCAAGCTATTGGTCGGGTTCTGCGGTCACAGTCTGCAGTGAATGGAGGGTATGATAAGGAAGTGAGTGATGGTGGTTTGGTTGATGAAGGTAGAGAAAATGACGGGTCTCATAAACAACGTAGTGAGGTAAACAATGAAGGGAGGAAGGAAATGGAGGTGGATGGTAAAGTGCAAGTTGTTGATCGGGTTCTGCAGGCACTGTCAGCGGTGAATGGAAGGCGTGATAAGGATGTGAATGATGGTGTTCTGGTTGCTGGAAGTAGAAAAAGTGATGGGTCTGACAAGCAATGTAGTGAGGTAAAAGATGAAGGGGCTGATCTGTTGGGCCAGGGTGAAAATGTGGGAGTAGGTGAGATTGGGAAGAAGAGGAGGTGGGGTGATAATGGCGAAGAAATTGATGATGATGCTCTTGAGGAAAAAAAGGTGAAGGAAGATGAGGTGGATAGTAAAGTGCTAACTACAGTTAGGGTTCTTCGGTCACGAGTTGTGGTGAATGAGGGGTGTGATAAGGCAGGGAGTGATGGTAGGGGGAGTGACGGGTCTGGCAAGAAATCTTCCAAGGTTAATAATGAAGGGGGTGATCAGTTGGTTGAACAGTTTACGAAGAAGTTGAAAGGCAAGAGAGGGAGCCCACTCAAGGTTGAAAAGGAAGAAGGTGATGGTTCGGGTGCTGGGCTACATAAGATGAAGAATTTGAAACGCAAGCGTGGGAGACCTAAGAAGGTAGAAAAGGAAGAGAGTGATCTGTCAGTTGGTCAGTTGAGAAAGGAAGAAGGTGATGGTTCGGGTGCTGGGCTACATAAGATGAATTTTAAACGCAAGCGTGGCAGACCTAAGAAGGTAGAAAAGGAAGAGAGTGATCTGTCAGTTGGTCGGTTGAGAAAGGAAGAAAGTGATGGTTCGGGCGCTGGGCTACAGAAGATGATGAATTTGAAACGTAAGCGTGGGAGACCTAAGAAGGTAGAAAGGGAAGAGAGTGATCTGTCAGTTGGTCGGTTGAGAAAGGAAGAAAGTCATGGTTTGGGTGCTGGGCTTCAGAAGATGAAGAATTTGAAACGTAAGCGTGGGAGACCTAAGAAGGTAGAAAAGGAGGAGAGTGATCTGTCAGTTGGTCGGTTGAGAAAGAAGTCAAAATTGAAGCACAAGAGACCACTTAAGGTGCAGAAGACTAATGTGGCTTTCAAAGGAAAGCTTGCTAAGGAAGGCAATATGGTTTTGAGATCGCATGAAAGAATCAAAGTGAATATGACAACTAATGGTTCATATCTGGAAAGGAGGATTATTGGGAAAGAGTTGGTTGTGAAGGCCTTTTCTCCAGCTAAAACGGATAAAAAAGGAAATGATTTGGAGACTGAGGATAGTGAGGATGGAGAAGGAAGTAATGAACGGAAACAGAAACAGAAGGGAAATAAAGGACAGAAAAATAAGCAGAAGGGTTGGGATGGAGATAGCGCCAGAAGTAGGCAAAAACAGTTGGTGAGAGATAAGATAGTGGATCTAATTATGCGTGCAGGTTGGACCATTCAATATAGGCCTAGGAATGGCAAAGATTACAAGGATGCAGTGTACGTAACTCCAGCAGGACAGACTCACTGGTCAGTCACCAAGGCTTACACAACTCTTAAGGTGCATTGTGAAAATGGTGAAAATAATTCCAAGTTTTGTAAGCCTGGCTTCAAATTTACTTTGATACCACCAGAGGAAATCGACATGCTAGCAAGGATACAAGTCGTGAAAAGGGTGGGGAAAAAGAAAGGGAAGAAGGGTGGAATTAACAAAAAACAAAAGAAGAAAAAGGGTGGGAATACAGTGGATGGAGTTACCGAAGAGAAAAAGAAAAAGAAATTGGGTAGGCCACTCAAAGGGAAACGTTTGCTTCTTGAAAAGGATCATTCAGCACGTGCAGCATGCAAGGGAAGGCGAAGTTTATATAAGACAAAAAGTAGAAAGCGATGTGCTTTACTGGTTCGGAACTCTGAGAATGCCGATTCAGATGATGATGGCCATGTACTATATGACGGGAAAAGAACAGTACTTGCCTGGATGATTGATTTGGGAACCCTATCACTTAATTCGAAGGTGAAGTACATGAACAGGAGAAAGACACAGGTGCTTCTTGAGGGTAACATTACAAGAGATGGAATTCATTGTGGTTGCTGTGGAGATACAATCTCAATTTCAAAGTTTGTAACCCATGCCAGAAGTGATTACTCTGAGCCATTTAAACATATATATCTGGACTCAGGGTCTACCCTTTTGCAATGCCTGCTTAACTCATGGAATAAACAGGATGAATACGACCGTCGTGGATTCCATTTTGTGGGTGTTAACAGGGAAGACCCAAACGATGATACATGTGGAATCTGTGGAGATGGTGGGAACTTGATTTGTTGTGATGGCTGTCCATCAACATTCCACCAAAATTGTTTAGAGATAAAGGTATGTTTATGGCGCCAATTTATAAATTGTTCTAACTACATGGATAAAGTGCTATTTAGATTAATTTAGAGTAGGCTGAAAGCTCTTAAGACAGCTTGCGTTCTATCCAATTCGATATTTTTATCTGAATTAAGTGCTATTTCAATGTCTTTAGTATACTATGAGGGGATAATTACTTGTTTTTGCCTTCAATGCTAAAGTTTATACTTTCCGTTACGTTGCACATATTCTACGGTAGCATTTATGGAATTAAGAATTGATTGATATGCCTAGAAACTGAAAATGTTTATGTTTCTGGTTTGTTTAAGAGCAGATGAGAACTCTATTCTTAATTTTTGCAGAAGTTCCCCTCAGGTGATTGGCATTGTGTATATTGTTCATGCAAATTTTGTGGGATGTTTGGCGGTAATATATGCGAAACCGATGGCAATGACAATGGAAATGTAGCTGCATCAGCATTAATTACCTGCCATTTGTGTGAGGAAAAATGTATTAACTCTTCCTCCTATCGTTTTTCGTCTTCCTGGGTTACGTAAATTTAGTACATTTGGCAAAATTTCATAGAAAACGTTTTCTTTTTAGATCACAAATCCTGTATTCAGGCAAAGGATGCTGTAAATGATGATGCCAATGATCCATCCTTCTGCGGCAAGAATTGTCAAGAGGTATTACATTTGTGATCCATTGCTGTAATGTTAGCCTGGATTGCAGTATTTGTGTAGGCTTTGGTGCATGCCTTCGCATTTTCATGTACTATTTATAGTAGTAAAATGATATTGTGCTGCATGCATTCGTGTTCTGCATGCAACAAGGGCTAAAGGATTTGACAGTTTGTCTCTTAATGCTTCAGTTGTAGGAAGATTGCTTACACTATTTTTAAGAGATGCTTACAAAGCATTATTTAGGTATTTAGGAATTTTTAACAATGCATGCAGATTTAAATGTTGATTTATTTATAAATCTGAGTTGTTTTCAATTTTCAGTTAAGTTTGATGAGATCTATAAATTCTTTTGATCAAATTCTCTACCCATTTTGTATTGTCAGTATGTAATTAATAATGTTTTTGTCATGCCAGCTATTTGCGAGTCTTCAGATGCTTCTTGGAGTGAGGCAAGAAATCGAAGATGGATTTTCATTGACTCTGATTCACCGATCTGATACGAGCTCAATTTCTATTTGTGACACACCACAGATAGATGATTGTGATTCAAAGCTAATTGAATGCAATTCCAAGCTGGCTGTTGCATTTTTACTAATGGATGAGTGTTTTTTGCCTATGGTTGACCACAGAAGTGGAGTCAATTTGATTCATAATATTCTGTATAATCGTGGGTAAGCATACTTTAATCCGCAATTTTGTGTGTGTGTGTGTGTGTCTATGTGGATGCCAAACTACTTTTGATTGGTTTGGAATAGTTTAATGTCATTGTCTTGAAATAAGTACGATGGGTGTGCAATATCTCACTGCAAACATATAACTGATGTTCATGATATATGTATTTCGAGTTCAAGGTGGTTGCGGTTGGGATTATGTACCTAGGAAAAGTTTTGGTGCTCGACCATATGAAAATCAATTTCTGTTTCTAATCGTGTATATCTAATTTTATGTAAAGATCTCTTCATAATTTACTTTGTCCTTTTATCTTCTATGTCGCTGTACTTTTTGCATTCAAACAAGTTTGAAAGAAGCTTTCCTTCCACGTATTGCAAATTGTCTCTTCAACTTTTTGACATGTAGAAAAATATAGACTTACCGTTACTTATTTTTGAATTTTCTATTATCAGGTCAAATTTTAGTAGACTGAATTATAGTGGTTTCTTGACTGCAATTCTTGAAAGAGGTGATGAGATCATATCAGCGGCATCCATCCGGTATGTTACTGCGAACATATCACAGTTAATCAATGCAGAATTTCTAGTTCTTGTGGGCAAGTTATTCTGAAAAATATAGTTGACATGGACTGCAAACTAAGTCTTATTGTAGAACATTTCGGCCAAATGAACAATAAATAAAAAAGAAACATTGAGCTGTACAGGTTGGTTTTCCTTGTATCTTTTGATAGCTATGTTTTTTGTAAATGATGCCAAAACTTTTGGATGTCTCTCGGAGTCTTTCTTCCAACCATAACTTTAGTAATTAGCAGTCAGCACTGGTTTGGAATTCTAGTTTTATTAGAATTTATTTTCTGCTCTTCTACCTCTCCCTGCAAATTTCTTAGAAGCCAAAGATCAGAATTCGAACTTTAGATTTTGTCTCGTGACACAGAATCGAGCGCAATGGCGTTCTAGGGTTCATATAGCCGACCCCACTTAGTGGGAAAAGGCTTTGTTGTGTTGTCTGTTTTTGAATTCTGATACTTTCACCTTCTCACTGCTAGAAGATTTACTGTTAAATAATGGTTGTGATCATTCTTTAAAACCCTCTCCCCTTGCTATTTCTTTATTATTTATCCATAAACCCTCTCGTGATTGGGTTACATGTTGCTGTAATCCTAATCGAGTAGAATTGCTTTTACGAGTTTGTGTGCTTTTTGCTCTATGTTCTGACACGACGTTGCTGCTTGGTCGATCAGGATTCATGGGAACTATTTAGCAGAGATGCCATTTGTTGGGACCCGATATATGTACAGGCGTCAAGGAATGTGCCGTCGGCTTCTAACTGGAATTGAATCTGTATGTTCGTTGCTAAATAGAAATACCTTGCTTTTTTTCTTGTCCTCACATTTGCTTGCAAGTCAGTTTCTTCTTAAATTTGAAACTCTGTTTTTATGCGGAGATATCTTATTAAGGAAAATCATGAATTTTCATAATCTTGCAAAGAATCTTAACTTTCTAGTTCTTTTGTGCCATTTTTCTGATCCATGATTAGGCTCTCAGCTCGTTGAATGTTGAAAGATTGGTTATACCTGCAATCTCGGAACTCAGAGAAACATGGACTTCTGTTTTTGGTTTTAAGCCCCTTGAAGAATCAAGCAAGCAGAGGATGAAGAGCATGAACATATTGGTTTTCCCTGGTGTAGATATCTTAGAGAAGCCAGTGTCGAAGCAGTTAACAGAAGCAAATATGATTCCCGCTGAAGGTATTTATGAAATCAGCAGAGACGAGCATGCGTGTGTTTGGCACATCTTTCTGTCAGTTGTATCTTCTTATTTTATAACTTACGCTGAATTTGCTCTTGTAGGTGTGAGGTCCATCGAACTTGAGCATCAGCAACTCGAGCAAGAGGTTTTATGTGATACTAATGACAAACGTTTGGTTGCGTCTGGAATTGAAGCATCTGCACCCTGTGGAAATGAGGCAAATGATGAACTTGCTGATGTTGAATCCTATACACAGCATCAGTGTGGTGTTTCTCTGGATAATCTGGAGGAGAAAAGCAATACAATTATGATTACTCCTCAACCAATGTGTGATATTCATGAACAAACTGAGGAGGTCAATGAACACCAGAGCTCTGCTTCAGTTCCTGATGTAGGGACGGTGCAAGTGGACACCCAACATGACCAGCATATCATGCTTGAAGTCGAAAACAAATCTTTGACATCACATCATAGTAGTTCTGTTAGGAACCACAATTCTCATGATGAAGGATCCATTTGCCGCTCTACTGAAAATAATACCACCGAGCAGCAGCACATAGGACTTGAAGTAAGGGTTTCCGATGAATTTACCGTCTGCCATGATTCAGCGACTACAACTGAGACATCTCATGAGGCAAGTGACCTTAAGCATCAGGATTCTCTAAGTGTGCAGGTTGCAGGATCTATTTCCTATCCGGATGGAAAGATGTCTGAGACTTGTGAAGCGGAATGTAACCATCCTTCTACTCAGCATACACCTGCAGTGATAGTTGAAGAGCATCCAGAATCTATCAAGTGTTATGGCTCTGAAATTCTGACCGAAACTAGTGAGGTCGCCAGTGATGTACTTCACCCTACTCCCCTGTTGCCTCACCAGAAAGCAGATGAGCTTGAAGGTAACAGGCTCAACACTCATAAAGTTGCAGATGGGTTTGAAGGCAACGGGCTCAACACTCGTAATGTTGCAGATGAGTTTGAAGGCAATGGGCTCAACACTCAAAAAGTCGACTCCGCTCTTACATGTGGACATGCCAAGTCCCCGGAGGTTACTGATTTGAATTTAACTCCCGAGGAGTCTCAGAACACAACATCCATAAATCAATCTGAACTCGATTCTCAGACAAGTCCCACGCAGTGCAACTCGAGCAATACGCCTGTTGTGGCTCTTCACTGCGCATCCGGTGGGGGTACTTCGGGGGCGGTTATTCTATCAAATCAGGCTAGGTGATATCTTATCTCGATACACCGACAGAAGTAAAGGCAGGAGGCTTTTTGGTAACAGCAGAGTCTCCAACCGAAAGAGTAGCAGAAGTATTTTGGCAAAGGGTTGAAAACTGTTTTTATCGCTTGTTAGAAAGCAACCCAGTTTTTGGTTCCTTCGACTTGCTGAGAACTTGGGAGTAAATATATAGGTTTTTTCGGGAAATGATTCATGCACGTCTCTTTTTACCTTCTGCACGCCTCTATTTTTTTCTAGCCACTGGATTGAATAAATCAGTGGCCCGACTTTAGAGAACTGTGCGGAAGCTGCGAAAGAGTGTTCATCAATCACTCCCATATTTTTTTAGCATTTTATGGCATCTGGGCAGTGGCACGATAAAAGTGCCCTTTGGTGGGTTGTATAATTTTTGGCCTCTGAGTGCAGTGACGTTCGATGATTCATACAACCAACGTCACATAGCGGGGTAAGGTTTTGTTGTTGTTGTTTGGTGTTCATTGTATTATCAAAACATGCATTGCTTCAACCCTGAAAAACCAGCCTATCATTTTTGTATAGATCTCTTGCTATGCATTGTTGAAGTTTGCTTTTGTTGGTATTAGTAAAAACTTGTACCAAGGAGAGATTCTTTGGCGCCACCGATTGTATGCGGTCGTTTTTTATTTCAACTGTTCACCCAACGAGACACATGATTATGTATAACTAATTAAACATTAATGTGGTAACATTGGCTTTGATGAAACATTAATGTGGTAACATTGGTACGTATAATCAAGATTAGTTTATGATAATATATTACTTCTATTAAGAAAAAAAACTTGATAAACAAAACCCCTTATGGAACAAGCTATCTTTTATACAAAATAACATTTTAAACTACTTTAATTTACGTCGAAAATGAATTTCAATTTTGTGATCAAGGAGAAAGACTTAATTTGACCAGGTACAGCCACAATGGCGTCCTTGTCTAATTGCACACAGTAATGTGTAGTGAGATCAACATGTCACATTGTGTTAATAGACCTGGAAGCTACCGTATCTCATAATTGAGAGGATAGACATGCTACTAAATTAATTAACATAACTCACGTTTGTAACGAGAAGTAGCCTTATTTAATGTTGTTGGACATTTTATCAATTGGGCTTGAGATAAAAAGAACTACAACAAAACATGAAATGGGCTAAAATATTTACGTTGGCCCAGACCCACAATTGGTGGGTATATAAAATCATTTACAAAACCCGCGGCGCCCATTTTTAGGGTTTCGCTCTGCTTCGCTTCCGTCTTCACGGCACACAGAGGCGTAGAGCTGCTCCAAAAGCTTCAAGATCCGAAACCCTAGCTATGGTCATCCTTTTCTCTCTCTCTCTTTCTCTGTTCTTTCTCTCTCCTTGCAAACCCTAATATTTAAAATGTTTGATAATGTATGAAATTAATTTGTGTGTATGTGAATTGGAATTTGCTGCAGTCTCTGGTAGCGAACGAAGAGTTCCAGCACATTCTGCGTGTGCTGAACACGAATGTGGACGGGAAGCAGAAGATTATGTTTGCCCTGACCTCCATCAAAGGTATCGGCCGCCGTTTCGCCAACATTGTCTGCAAGAAGGCAGACGTCGACATGAACAAGAGGTGCCCTTTCTCTTCAACTCCCCTTCTCCAATTTCATCTGATTTTATGTGGGTATTGGAAATTAAGTTGCTTTTGCGTGCCATTAGAATTTAATGGAGAAACGAAAACTTAGAAGTGGTTTTTTATAATAGAACTCTTTAAGTGCTTCCTGGAAAAGTACCTAGAAGTGCTTCTTGAAGAAGCATATAGCAGGTGCATCTCCAGAGTGCTTGTACGACCCAGAATGTCTTTCGAAACTGTACTGCCAATCATAGGTAGAAGCTCTTTTTGTTGTCGGAAAGCACTTTAAGGCCAGAAGCATTCCCGAACAGACTATTAGATTAGGTTTAGTGAAACTTTGGTTGTGCATATGCTTATGGTTGCATTCTAAGCACTTTTATAACCATATAGTTGGGGTGCTTATCAGTTTTTGCTAGACATTGTAATCTTCTGACAAATTATGGGAGTTTATTTTTCCCTTTGAATTGTAGAATTCGTATACATGCATAAGTTTGCAGTCTGAATTTAGTTGTGGTAGTGAAAGTGCTTGTGGAGAAGCTAGTTTATTGTTGGAAGACTTATTTCAGCTTTGGAAATTATGGGTTTAATGTAAGTGATTCATTGCAGAGCTGGTGAACTGTCTGCTGCGGAGCTTGATACCCTCATGACGATTGTTGCGAATCCTCGCCAGTTCAAAATTCCAGACTGGTTTTTGAACAGGAAGAAGGATTACAAGGATGGGAGGTACTCTCAAGTTGTTTCCAATGCATTGGACATGAAGCTGAGGGATGACCTTGAGCGCTTGAAGAAGATCAGGTTTGTTATTTACTATTAAGTAATTGTCACCATTTGTGTGCGTTTGGCAGTTGATTTTGATTGGGTTCTTATATTAGGCTGAGGCCCGAGGACAACCTTGGCTTGCTTTTGCTGCTTTTTAAATGTTATTGAGTTGATAATTGTCTGTACTGTGGCAGAAACCACCGTGGTCTCCGTCACTACTGGGGTCTCCGAGTGCGTGGGCAGCACACCAAGACTACCGGTCGCAGAGGAAAGACCGTTGGTGTCTCCAAGAAGCGATAGAGTCTGCCCTTGCATTTTCCATTCTAAGCTCTTTGCGTATGTTTACATGTTAGCTTGAGAGCTTTCTGCTTCTTGAGTATATCTGAGAATGTTTATGAATTCTGAAAATGCCATTTTGGATTTGTTTCTGGGATTTATTTTCTTATTTAAACCGAAGGCATGTTTTCGTTAATTGTAAGTTCACTAATTTCCATAGTGAAGGTTTTCTAGCTTATATTCTCAAATGCTCCGTTTCTTGTTTTTCTTATCTCCCTTGCATTTTTGCCGTCCTTGGTAATTTAATCTTACATGAAACTGCCATATAATTGGTTGTATGCGTCAATTCTCTGATCTTTCTTATCACGTGGCTAGTCATATGTTAAGAATTGAAACAGAGATGCCATTAAGTGCGGGCTTCGGCTTCGGTTTGACCTTGGTCTGTATTAAGCTGTTCGTTTTATAGCTGGTGTGTATGTATGTTGGATCACTGTGGTTAGAGTCCCGGTCTATCTTGAAGACATCTGAAGCCCTTAACATAAAATCAGTGGGCACAGCGTGGCCCTAAAATTTTCTATATTCTGGCTCGGCCACAAAAAAAAAAAAAAAATTGTTACTACTATGTTCGTTTGGTGGTTGCTGGGTTGGAGAGATTTTCTTGCAACTAAAATAGTCTTGGCGGCATACTTGCATGTATTCGGAAAGTGCACAACCCATTCTAAAAGATGCTTGCTGCATAGTGCATCTGGTTACAAGAGAGTTTCTCTTCTCTAGACGAGATTGGTAATGAGTCTAGTCCATTCCAATCCAATAGGGTTAGCTGCTCTTAGCCAATTGGGCTACAAACCCCGTTGGTTTATGACAATTCTTTTTGGGAAAGGAGGTAGCAAGTGCAATATACTTTAAATTTTGATATTAAAAGTGGAGAATAAATTGATGTGCTTGTAATGTTTTAATCTTAGTTCTTGATAATAAATTCAATGGTGAGTGGCGATAATGATAATGATACTACGTTAAAACGGGGTCCTTTCCGACCCCAACCAGCCCAAGGAGCACAACACCGGTCCAAGGAATACAATGCCCAAAGGAAGAGGCCAAGACTTGACAAGATTAGGAGGACAATTCGCTAGCGCTACAAAAGACTGTTTAGTGGTCCAGATTGTCTATCAACAATGAGGCTAAATGTTTTCCCAAAAAGTACTTTTCGACCGTTGAGAGCAAGTTGATGTACTAACAACTTTATAGCACGAAGTCCCAGGACATAGGACATACCTACTCAGACGTCAACTCTAGCCAAGAGAACGAAACCCTATAAAGGGACATAAAAGGTTGACAGATATGGGGCTTGGGTGCAAATTCACCAACTCTAGAGCTGAGCAAGGCGCTTGGTATGTGTTGTCCCAAGAAAGCATGCAAGTAAACTGAATGGATGTCACTTTGTTGTCATGTGCTATAAAGAATCGAGGGGCAGCTAGCATGTCAAGTCTACGTATTTGGCGCATTAAATGCAAAGGTAGGGAAAGCTTGAATCCAGGGACTTGTGAGCATTGAGTGCCTATACAAAGAGGATGAATACTCCTTATGACAAGTCCGACAAATTGAGAGAAAAGAGATAGTGTTCATCTGAGCGCTATTTATAACCTCTAATTCAAAATATACGAGAAATTTAGTTTATGTAATTAGTTTGAAGGGTAAACTACTTAAACATTGTTGTTCAGTTCTTATTATTCTAAAGTCTGAGCCCACTAAAAACTGACACACGACCATTCTGATTTTTGTTGACCTCACTAATTTTGAGCGCCAACAAATAATAATAATACGATGCATCTCATCTGTCCTCATCCTTCAAGTTGAAGCATAAACAAAGATATTTGGGCAGAATCATTGAGTTTAAAAAAATAGAGACAAAAACAAGATTCCCTGATTTCTTTCTGCGCTGCCAATCAAACAGACCCACCTCTGAGTCTGCACCCCCTCTCTTATTCATAATAATTTGTCTCCAGGTGCATCGTTTAATTAATTTAATCCCCACCCCAACCCCCTAAATCAGCATCAGTTACCGCCAATTAGACTTCGTGATTAGAGTCTATATTGTTCTTAATTAAGGATTAACTTCTGATTGAGTATGAAACCGTGGGCTCACAGAGGATTTGCTCTTTAAAAGTTAGAATTCAAGTACGGACCTCCTTTTGTGGTTCGTGTTGGATTGAAGAGTATTTCAATATTTTAGTGTGGCTTATATGATTTGTGATGTATTCGGTTTAATGAATATTATTTTGGAAGCAATCCTATTAGTTAAATGACGAGATTTGGTTATTTATTTTGTTATTGTGATGGGTGATAATTAATTATAAGCTTCATTAGGAAATGAGTCTCTCGATTGCCTATAATATCTACAATATTTTACATATTTTGCATTAATCGTTTGAGAAAATCATGGAATTCAAAAATCTTCACTCATGTATTGGGTCTTATGGCTTTACCCAATTCGAAGTTTACACTGGATTCTTAATTTAGGAAGGCTAAAAGGGAAGTACTTTTTAAATTTTGTTTTTCTCTTCTCACAATTTTTCTCTCTTTTCTTTTGGTTGAATTTTTTCTCGTTTTTATCTCTTGATTCTCCATTATCTGTTCCGTTTAAACATTAGAAATATTAGTGTATAAAAGGAAAATTTTTTATGGAAATGAGAATGCAAAAATCATTGCTTTCTTATTTTACTTTGTGGGAATTAATAGATTTACAAGAAAAAATGATCATGTTGCTTAAAAGTGAAGTGTGAGTCCACATCAAAGCATATCAAGATTAAGAAATGTTACCGAGCAGTTATATTATAAGGAAAAGAAAATGGATTGAAAACTTTGAGTTTTGAAACTCCCTATATTATAAGGTGATGGGGACTAAACAAGCATAAATAATAGTAACGACATGTTTGTTTATCTTTAACAAAATGTTTTAGAGAGTAAAATCACTCTTTTCAAACTTAAAGTGTAAGAGAGAGACATACTTCTCTGACCAACTTGAGTTAATGTACATTCGCTAATATGTAAATTAGATTGGATGATGGAGCGGATCCAAAATTACATTGAAATGCGCAAATTCGAAAGCAAAATCTAAGCTTTGCATATTTGAGTTTTGATGTCTACTTTGGATTCATGACTTCTTGTTTTGAACAAAAAGCGCTACGAGTCTAACTTGTAACTATGCCATGACATTTAGACTTTTAAATATCGTGCTCCACTACATGTCGTTTTGTTACTTTCTAAGTTGGTTATCTATTTGTACTTCTGTCTAGGGCTACGAGGCACCATATTAGCATCTCTTAGGGTGCTAGGGTTTGTAATCTTTCATATTATTTAATTAAGGGTAATTCTCAGTTTATTATCTTCAAGTTTCGTGGTTTTCAACATTTAGTACATGAAGTTTTTTTCGTCCTAGAGTCATACCTAAAATGTTAATTTTGGGACTGTCTCATACATCCGTTAGTCTGGCTGTTAAATCTTCCGTTAACTGTGATGCCCATGTGTCAATAAAGGTCCCACGTGGATATTAAAAATAAAAATAAAAATAAAAATTAAACATTAAAAAAATTAAAGAATTACAAAAAAATAAAAATAAAAGGTCTTCTTCCTCAAACTCCCTTCTCTCTCCCTTCTCCCCTCTGCACCTACCCAACCTCTGCACATCCATCCTTCCCCCTCCCTCTTTGACTCCACCTACTCAACGTCTTCGACGGCCCCGTGTCCTCGAAGGAGCAGTGATTGACTGTGCGCGGTGATACTCTTAGATCTCGGGGCAGAGATCTTGAAGCTATGGGGGCGCAGATACTCCCAAATCTCAGGGAGGAGATTTTGATTTCGCTGTGCTTGGTGATCGACAGTGCCTTCTCCTTGGTCCAGTGGATGTACGTTTCACAGGTTAAGCTCTTCCTAGGAGGCCCAAGTCGTCCTCGAAACTCAACAGGAGGCCCGAGTCGCCGTTGCTGAGCAGGAAGTACTCCTCTGCGTGCTGCTTGGGAATTGGAGTTGGTTTGATTCGTTGGGGTTGACGGCGTCGTGGTGGTTGAGGTTGAAATTGAGGGTGGCGGTGGGGGTATGGAAATGGGTAGGGGACATGGGGAAGACGAAGGGGTTCTGCGCCTTTTTTTTACTTTTATTTAATTAATTATTTTATTATTTTAATATTTTAAAATTTTTAATATCCACGTGGGACCTTTATTGACATGTGACGCCTAGTCATTGTTTACATTGGCGTCAGTTAACGGAAGACTTAACAGCTAGACTAACGGATGTATAAGACTGTCCTAAAATTAACATTTTCGGTATAACTCTGGAACGAAAAAAACTTTATGTAATAAATGTTAAAAATCACCAAATTTGAAAGTAGTAAACTGAGAATTACCCTTTAATTAAACACTTTGAGGTTTTCTCAAATTTTCATGTAAATTCCATTTTTTCTTGTGCCTTAAGGTTATCGTTGAATGCTTTTTTTTTTTAATTTTTTTATTTTATCACGCTGCGTTAGAAAGTAAAATTCATTTTAATTGTTATAAAACCATGGAGGGTGCAGCATGGAGCCACGAGTAGTTGAACTTGAACATGCATGGTTGTGTCTACGCATACCACAAAAGGCGAAAAGAGAAGCAGTAGGCCCCCTCAGCACATGTTTTTCTATCGATCCAAGTTAAGTGCATTGCTATTTTCTACTTGCTCCTATATACACACAGAGAGGCCAACTTAACCTAATGGCCATAGCTAGCCAAAAAGTACTGGAAGCAGGCTCGCAGGCTTTTTAGGTTGAACACTTGAACCCTCGTTGTCAACTGAAGGTGTGTAAGATGTTGAATTTGGTGAGTAGTGAGTACCACTGTAACTCTGTATCCACATGTGCAGGTTGCACCATGATCCACGTTTCCCAAGAAGTTTAACTTTATCATTAGCTTTCAACAGTAATTGGATGTAGTACTTTATATAGTGTTACATACGCATGGTGCTATTTACGTATATTTTTGCCGTTTAAATTGAATAAATAAATGAAGAAAGAAAAAAAATCTTTATTGTTTATTTTCGTTGTCTAAACTACTTATTAATATAATCTTTTTTGTCAATCAAATAATAGTGAAAAGATTACGTAGTCTTCTATCACATGAAACAAAAACTAATAGCCGATAATATAATTTCACAAAATCAAATTTTATTGTTTTTATTGAAACCTCATACTTAAAAATAAAAAACAAAAACCTCTCTTCTCCACTCTTACTCCCACGTTCTCTCTCCCACTCTCTTTCCAATTTTAAAAACAAAAAACAAAAAATGTTCACACACGCAAAACATAGACATATGCTCGTTTAGAATAATAAAACAAAAAATAAAAATAAACTAACAAGTCAATGTTATAGATTTTTTGTGAGAAAATTAGGCAATGGTCATGTCAAAATTCATTTTCCTAACAACTCGTAAATATACACGTGGAAGTTGAACTACCTAGCTTCAAGCATTTAATCAAATCAGTCCTGCTCTCCTAATGTCTTCATTTTGAGGTCAGGACCAAATGCATATTAGTCACAATATTGTATTAGTTTAGATCTAAAGTCTTAAAATATTTGACAATTTAATAAAGAAAACCAAACCAATTTAATAATTTGATAATAAGCATGTTAATCAACACTTAACTAATAATTCATTTATTAACAACTATGTCTTATGGTTTATAAAATATAATTTAAATAGACAGTTTCCTAACATTGCACTTAATCAAAGCATACAATTGGAATGTAAATTTTTGGGTACATCAGAGAGTTCAAATCCATGCTATAGCCTATTCTTATTCATCATCTTATATATATGGTTCACTGTTGGACTAATCTCAACATTAAAAATAATACTAGATCATGCTTTATATATTGACGGTTTATTGTCGATTTAGTGTCCTAGTTCCAGTTACTTTTTGGATAAAATTTTACAACCAGTCAGTCATATATACAGCTAAAAACAGCTAAGCCTAGAAACAAGGACAAGGACCAGATACTGGAGAAGAAGAAAATGGGGGACAAGATTCAATAAGATTTGTCGATGTGATTGAAAACAACAAAAAAAAGATGGACTGATCGACTTCAATATTATACATAATAACAAATTCGGATATTTTTTAATTTCCACTGAATATTGACAAATAATGAAGTCAATATTATAACCGTTTAATTACTGACTAGACGCACCGTGAAACCTCACAAACGCCGGCGGTGAACTCCGGTTCTAATTCAATGCGGGCGCCTCCGCAGGGAGATGGCATGAGGCTGACGAGAAGATCGGCGAAAGCGCCGATAATAAACTTGTGAGTGCTCTTAGGGTTCAGCGCAAGATAGCACAGGAGGAGCTCATGCAAAAACTCCCAGTTGGATTTCTTTTTCACGTCCTCCGAATCTGGCGTTCTCTCACGCGCCTCCACCATCTCCTGCATGGACCGCAGGAAGTCCCGATATGGATCGGGGGAGAATGTGGGGACCGCCACGCTGTGGTTGATGAAGAGCTTGCGGTCTTCGGTCTCGGAGGTTGATGTTTTGGAGGATGATGAGGTGGCGGCGAATGACGATTGGTCGACAATGGAGTTGGAGAGGCCGGGAGAGGAGAAGAAGAAGCGTCGGGAGGCGAAGGCGGTGGCAAAGTCGGGGGCAGGGGCATCGGTGTTGGAGTAGTCGTCGGGGGTGGAGAGGAGGGAAGAGCTGAGGGATTTTGAGGTGGTGGTGGTGGAGTCGAACAGCGTGGATTTGTCGTCGTAGAGGGAGTTGAAGTTTTTAATCATGGACGTTGATGTGGATGCGGTGGCGGTGGCGGTTGGTAATGGACGGCTGTGATCGTTGTCATCTAGGGTTGTACTCATTGGTGGCCGTCGGATCTTTGTGAAGCAGAGATATAGGTTTCTTCCCAGTGTGTTTTGCATTTTTTCTCACAATTTAGAAGCGACTGCAGAGAGAGAGAGAGAGAGAGAAAGCGTGTGTGAGAACATTGTGTGAAGTCTTTATATATAGTTGGTGCCTTGGTGGTGATGTAACTTGTAGTTTGGGTTCAAAGCGGCGACTGGACAGCCGTAAGAAGACTCTATAAGCTTGGAGAAATTTTTTCATGTAATTGGAACACAAGTTGGTACAACACGTGTCATAATATAAGTGAAGCGATGATTATTTTTTAGTGTGTTTCCGTTTGTATCATGAAACCATTAAATTCATATCAAACCGCAAGACATCTGTTAAACCGTCAAAAAATAAAAAGATAATTTTAGTAATTTCTTATAGAGTTCACGTAAAACTTTCGATTGTCGTACTTCCCCGGCTTCCTCTCTCCTTTTATGAAGTACATTTTAGCAGTAGTTTCGGTTCATGTTTTTCTTGCATCGAAAATGGATTAAATTTGTTGTTGTGACTGTGATGCTATCATCTTACGTTTCACGTTATAGTATGTATACTTATTTGTTATATATATAATTAATATCAATCATTTTGCCATTAATACTGTAATTCTTTCGTAGCGTATAAACAACATGAAATTGTGACAGATGTATTTGAGGAGGGATGGAGGAGTAGTAGGCCGCATTTACTGAAAATTGAGGAGCTTTCACATCATGGGATGGGAGAAATTATCTGTATCAAGTTGAGATAACGCAGATCAGCTACATGAGAGGAAGAAAGAGATTGATCAACAACGCTTGGATTTCCTTATCACTTTTTGATCTTCCAATTAGGACCTCTCATATTACGGGGTCCCATTTATGTAGTAAACTTTCCTGCAACACAGCCTCATTTGTCAATTATCTTTTTTCTTTATCTGCCCCTTTATCGCGTAGTAATGTTCTTTCAATGTGAACATGTAATGTATAATATGTATATTCTGAATATACATGCAATGTTCAAATGTTCTAAACTACACTAATTTAATGATTGAGAAAATTCAAACTTGCATGCAAGTGGGATGACATTGTTTGGACGAACTCTTTTGTAGTTGTATAAACAAATATTAGTAAGGATTATGCTTAACTAAGCAAAAACAAGCAAAGTATAGGATCATCGGAAGGACCATGTATTCATCATATAAAACCTTATATATGTTCTTGTATATTTCATTGTTTCTCCATTTTTGGTCCTAGAATACAGAGGTCTCATAAGATAAATACATTATCCCTACGAGATCTTTTTATCTCATTTTTGCTTACAATAGAACGGATTTCTTGTTAAGAAAAGACTTGTGATGTTATAATTAATTATTTAATTAGTTTTTGTGCTAAGTTTGAAGAAAAATATTGAGTGAAGTTGAAGATTTTAAGGAGGGAATAAATCGGGGGTACGAACTCACATATGGATGTAACGAATGATCCAACTACAAACCAAATCTCAAAATAGGGCAGACACCATGCACATGGTGGGTGACACATTTAGTCACGAACTAACTAATGTATTGCGTAAATTCGTGTTCCAAAACCCTATCCGCCATTTTTCTGGTAGCAATGTAAGAAAACTAGCGCTCTTTCCTCTTGTCAATATCCATATGAATTATTAGCTTCTCTTTCGTCGGTCGGTACAAAATGCAACCTGCTATCCGTAGCCTGAGCATGAAGATCGATCCATGATGATAGATGCATGCAACACAGAAAAGTTGTGTCTAAAAAAGAAATACTTTCACTATTTTTCAACGGGAGAGAAGGACATTGCACTGCCAGAAAACAAAACTAGCCGTGTATGAATGATCAACATCACCTGAGGTTTGTACACGATCGCTAGTAAAAGGTTAACTATTAGTGTTACATTAGTTGGCCAGTCAGTGGTCACTTTTATTTTTTTATTTTTAATTTAGTTAAAAGTAATGCTATGTAGATCAATTTTTAAATTAAATTTATAAATTATATAATGTGTGACCAATAAACAATAAGTACATTTATTAACACTTAAATAATAATTTAATTATTTCCAACCATGTCATGTGTTTTTACACAATTCGGTTTAAAATTTTGATCTCCTTAACATTATATTGTAGGTTATTATTTTACCCGAAATGTAAATATTTGGCATTCTGTTTGTTTAATAACCATAAATGGCTTCTCTTCCACAATTAGGATAACTGACCACTTGCTTAAATTTCTCCAAATCTCATGTCTTTAATTTCAGAGTTCCGCGAGGAATGCCATAGACCCTACTAGGGTTTATTATTCATATATGGATAAAATTAAGTTACAATGCCGATCAAATTCAGAATTTACTGCATGTTACCTAATATTTATTAGATTTAACTGCAGTTACCTTTCTTATATACATTCATTTTCCGTCAACACATATTCTTACTTCTGTCTGTTAATTGGGTTAAATATAATTTGTTTCCTGTCGAGTCAAAATAATTGATATGAACCCCTCTTTCCTTTTCCTTTCTGCATTCTGACCTTGTGAGGTGTGGTGGTCATCAGGATATTATAAGTAAGCCAGAGTACATAATAAACTAAGCCTATTTGACACGAAGCATTCAATAATTTATACACGCATGATCTCTTTTATTAGAGAATAACTTGCATGTGACACAAAAATATACTGTAACCGTAAGGTATCGTGTTAATAATACAGTGGCATGTAAAGGAAATCTCAAAAAACCACCGTGTCAATATATACCTATCATAACGTTTCTCTCATTCTACTGCCTTAAGGATTGTGCGAAGCAAGGAGGGAAACACAAGAAGATTACAATAGAAGCAATTTCAGTGGAGGTTCTTTTGCCATACAAGATCTTGAGATCTTAGAGATACCGTGGATGTCTGCTGGATCAAACTATGTTGCCAAAGCCAAATACCAACAGCCAACCAAGCCATATGTAACGGGCAACAGCAAGAGAAACTTCCTCAAACAAGAGTACAATTATAGTATTATCCGATCCTCCTAAATTATTTGTTTTATTATAAATGATTCATCTACTTGCTGCGACACCCAACATAGTGTCTCATTCTTCTGCCACTAATCTTGAACTTCAGTTTTGTGCCTTAGCTCAACGTAGAGGTGCAGTTGACTAGAATAATATATACTCTGATAAAAATCACATCTCACAATACAGACATAATCAAAGTTGATTATAACCATATGCACCGTCAAATATGACTATTAGTCAAATTGATTATAATTGCATTTCACCAGCATAACATCATAAAGTTAACATTTCTAACAAAACAAGAGAAACATGTTGACATTAAACGAGATATTTACATTACAAGGTTGATTTTTTATGTCTACATTCTTGTAGAAACGTAGTAGTACAACAAAAGTAACCGCGACTTATCCACACAGAAAACTTTCAACCCATATTCTTACGCCCAAACTTCAACATGCATGCGTATATGTACAATATTGAAATACTAGTAATAAGTTTATCCCCCATTCTGGTTAAGCCCAGCCGCTGCCGCCAGCGATTCAGCAACTCCGCCTGGAGTGGTGGCCATATTTGGACTGTTACGTATCTCTGCTCCTATCACCGCCTTTGCATCCTCTCTAGTCACAGGTTTGTCCGCAGGCAACTTCTCAGTTGCATCCTGCATTATTTTCACGAAAAGAGAAACGAAATTGATTAAACCCCCTAGAATGTTAAACAGAATTACTGATGTACCATATTAAATGTTAATTTGTACCTCTAACACGTCACCAAGTTTCGTTTTATTGACGTCGCGCGGGTTAACAGAGGCTGCATACTGAGCTACAGCCGCCGCACCTCCGGGTGCTATCTCATTGCGTCCAGTGGCTCTCATTTCAGCAGCTTGTATTGCAGCGGCGTCGCTTTGTTCAATTGGTTTGTCTCCTGCCGTCAAAGCACTGGCCTCCAGCGCTTCACCAATCGTAATTGCATCTCGATCAAGCGCTCCTCCTGGAGATGCCATTGGCACCGGTGGCTCCACATATTGGGCCACAACCTTCAAACGAAGGTAACCAATACATACAGTCATATACATATGCATAAACGCTCACTTTGTTTTTTGAAGCCAACAACGTTCACTATCAATTAGATGTTCCAATTCTTGTATTCTTAAAATATATATAGTGTGAGACAGAAAATAAACACAACATGTAAAATATCTGAAGATAACATATGTACAAAGTTAAAAGAAAAAATTGCAACTTATCTGTTGAGGCCCAACGGGAAATTAGAGTAATTGCATACGCTTATAAAGAGTTTTAGTTATTGTCAATATCCCTAATTAGTTTTCCATCGACAATTAGATATACAAAAAGAGTTGACTTACTCTTGATACTCGACTTTTTGTGATTATCGTATTAGAGCAGGTTAACTTCTATTATATGTGAAAATTCCGACATGTTTGTTCGTGATACACATAAAATGACATGTGACATGTGCTCTTTATGTGCTTAATTACGAAGTAAGACTCCTTTCTATGCAACCAATATGGTTTTACGTTGGAACTAGATCAAACGAAAATAAATTGTAACGATACTACAAATTGAAATAGAAAAATATATACCTGTCCAGCAACTTTTTCAGTGACAACGCGGTTGCCATCGGGATTAATTGTTTCAGTAACGGTGACGCCTTCCTCTCGGGCGACTTTAGTGGAGTCAAGGTGGCCAACAAGGCCAAAGCGCTCGTTGTACGTAGCTGCCGACTGCATGACAGCAGCTGGGCCACCCCTCGGATTCTCTCCAAGGACTAGGTTTTCAGCAGCTTGGGCAGTGGCGGCGTCGCGGGGCGCGACGGGCCTGTCAGCCAATTCGCCGGAGACATTGAAGACGTCTCCGTATTTTATGGGTTCCTGAACCTCGGACTGGTCCGGTCGGCGTCTTTGTGGCTGTCCCTGGCTCATGTTTTGTGCTTGAATATGACAGATTATTAGGTTACTTAGAATGTTATTTTACAAGTAGTGCAAGTATAATGTACGTTCCAAATTAAGCAATATATATATATGTACACACACATACATATATATATATATATATTGCTTAATTTGTTGTGGAAGGATGAATATGTATGAGTACGGATTGGGATAAGTGAGAACTGAACAGCAGGATTCTTCAAGTATACAGGTGGCGGATGGAGAATGAGGGTTTTGGATATAGCTCACAGGTGGAAGCCATGTTTCATGTTGAACACAAACTCCGGCGACACTTGGACTTGGGTCGGTGTACGGCTTTATACTACTATAAGAGCTTTGACACATGCCATAATTGGCCTCGATAAGTTAGTTAGGGCAACTCTTGTAAGAATAAATTAGACTTAAAAGATTAATACACTAGTCAAGAACACAAGGATTAATCAACTAAATCACAATCCTTAAATTATGTATGTAATATAAGTGTAAGAACTGCAGCAATTATACCAACGCATACCTGGAGACATGTTCATGGATGAAGAAGCCATAAAAACCTGCACACAACCTTCTCTTCTCTGCAAAACTCAATGCTCTCCAAGTTATAGGTAATTAGAACAATAAGAGCATGCTTTGTGGGAGCAGGGGCTTGTGGTTTTATACTACAAGACCTGGATTGCCCTATAACAATCCCACAAGGAATACAAGATTGCATTCCTTATATCAGTATGAGTCCTATAAACGAGCAAACACAAGAGTCTTTTATATACCAATATGATTGGATTAACTCTTGTCAACATGATTTAGACTTCTTTATAATATCAACTATCCCAAGACTTGTAAGAATCATACTCTTACATTCTCCCACTTGAGTATGATTCATCACAACAGAGAATCATCTCAAATTATTATAAAGGTGATCACAAAAGTCATTCATCAACACACTAGTACATAGACACAACCATCTTACATAAGCCAAAACAATGAATTTATAATTACATCTGCAACACAAAATACAGATTTAACTTACAAATCACAATGTCTAGTTCATGTTCATAGCAATGTATCTAAGCTCAAGAGTAAACCAAGACGTCTACTCCCACCCATATGGCCCAAAATTAATATAAAAAAATACCAAACATTCTTGACAGTAAGCTGTCAACTTAAAATTATTCATAATTGTATGAATAAACACACCTATGCATTTTAAAGTATTGAACTTAAGAATCTTTTCTGTTACTTCGTAGAATTAACTCAAAAGTCACAACATACTTAATTTGCACTTTGTAATTATGTGAACCAATATAGCAAAACCAAACCAATTTGCTCCCACTCATCTAGGCCATACTTAACACAAACAAGTTAAGTACAAGTTAATAGCAACTATATTAACTAAAGTCATTCCAATACAATGAATGACTAATCATAATTCATATGGAAACCAAATTCATTTCCTTTTGAATGCTAACCGACATAATAGGACCCTTCTCATTACTTAAACAAATTAAGTAACACAAATAATTCAACCAATTGCTTCAATAAAATCATAAACTGGTTTTTAAGCATCCAAATGAATTATAATGGCCGGCCTAAATACTCTTAGCCTTATGCTTACATTCAAACATACGGTTCTCCCACTTAAGCATAAGCAGAATGTACTGCACAACCAATAAAGAAACCGGAGATATGAACCAATTGGTTCCCGATTCCTCACCAATTGCATAATCTTAGTTTAATCATATACACCTAAACCATTATACAAACAGTCTATGTATCAAAAGATAGTCACAATCCATTCGGAAAAACTTATCTCACATAAACCCAAACTCACTAGTTTCAACAACGATCAAAATCTGAATTGCAAGCACAATATTTTTGCATTCAATTTGATCCTAACTAGTTCAATATCCATCGAGCAAGATCAACTAAAATTTGATACTGTTTGGACATAGAAGCACAAGTTATCTCAATTAAAACAAGATAATCAAGATCTCAACTTTTTAACAATATGATTTACATATAATAATTCTTTAACAAGATCGACATGTATCATAATTCAATCTAGTCCAAAAATCAATTGCAAAAATACTGATTGACGCTTCAAAATCTCAAACAATTCCAATCAATAGAAAACCTATAATTTGTCAAAATTTCAAAATTAATATCTTATGAACTTTGAGATCGCATCAGATATGAATTAAAGGATACATACCAATTAATCAGCAAATTTTCATTAAGAGTAGCGGAAGTAAACGAGAAACGAAAATTCCAGAGCAAATCTTGTCAATCGATGAGTTCCACTATCACAGCGAAATAGAATGCATTCTTGCCAACAAGACTTCACCAAAACAATTTATATCATTCCATACAAGGAATAAATACAAGAACCTTCACATGTTTTCGGTTATACACTGCACAGATTGACATTTATCGAACCCAAAGATTCCAAACTCCATCATTCATATATACGGAAAGCCCCCAAAACATATTATATGTAGTCTAACCAAAACTGGGAATATGAATTACACTCATAATTTTAAAGTCATCATTATGGATACTTGTATAATCTAATTTTGCCTTCTTTTTTTTTATTTTTTTATTTTTAAAATAATAATTCAAACCAGACCAATGCATTGTAACTATATGTATCATAAATACAAACAATGGCATCGAAATCCATTAGTTTAATATTAGAATCGCTTGATCATTAAGCATACTTGCCCAGACAATATCAATTCATGGAGTACTTGTGCAGTCAGATTGATTCCATTCCAAATTGATATTCATCATATATGTCCCAAAACCAAACAGACAAAAGAGAACGATAGGTGCTGTATATGAACAAGTTTTATCCTCCACCAAGACTAATTTAATCAGAACCATAAACTCTTTAATGAAAAATAAAGAGTATACATAGACTAAATGTTACACTAATTTATTTATGCAGCAAAATATGATTTCAGACATCCCACATAAATCACAAGTTGGCATCCATAGGGATTTCGAGTTTAATCATGCCCTCATAGTATATATACAAATAATTAAACAGGCATACTCGAAATAGCAAAAGCCCTAATTCATCATGTTCAAACACATCACACTATAATCATGCATATAAGAAAACAATTAATCATGCATGATACAATGAACTAAGTTACCATCACTGGATTCATATTCGTCAACCCGATTGCAATTCCTCGACTCCAAATCAACGAAACAAATTATCCATCAATGCCTGAGATCCATCCATGCGGATTGCCATCACTTCAAATTCCCGTCGACCCCATATCATTGAGAGTCAGCAATAAACCAATGTCTCGCCTCCACTTTTTGTAATTACTTCCCCAATGAGAATAAGCACACTTGCAAGATTAAGTGAAACTGCAGACAATTGAAATCTCAAAAGAAGAACCAAAAGTTCTTGATTTCAATCTACTTTCACTTAATACACACTGATATGAACCAACTTAGTCATATATATAGATTTTTCATTATGAATGAAAAGTATATATAGATTAAACAACTCATCAGTGAAGAGACAACTCTCAATGCAGATGCAGATTTCAATTTCAATTAAAATAGGAAACAATAAAACAATAAATGAGTCAATACCAATATGAAGAATCAGAAAGATAACACGATCTTCGTTCAATGATTTTTAACAACATAATTAGTTGATCAGAATACAAGTTTATTCATTACACTAATAATACAAGGAGGATTAATAAACCAAAATCATCTCAATCTGCAAACATCATAATCAACACAACGGAAGCAATAATTTCAAAAATCAGAATTATGATGCTTAAGAGAGATGTATACTGCTATATTACTATACTTATCATCAAATAAGCAAGCATGAAAAGGTTTTCTCAACCCCATATTGACAAAACACGAGTTTCTCCCTTTCCAGACTGATCACAGTCAAAAATTGAACTAAAGGTTATTTCTTAAACGATGTTGTACCACTCGTCTTTAAAAACCAATTAAACAGACTTGTTCTTCAAACCAGTTCGTTTTTGCAATTTTTTAGGAACCAATTTATGATCGAATTTAGTTGTAAAATCCAATGGCTCTAATACCACATGAAGTATAAACTAGACTTAAAAGATTAATATAGTAGCCAAGAACACAAGGATTAATCAACTAAATCACAATCCTTAAATTATGTATGTAATATAAGTGTAAGAATTGCAGCAATTATACCAACGCATACCTAGAGACATGTTCATGGATGAAGAAGCCATGAAAACCTGCACACAACCTTCTCTTCTCTGCAAAACTCAATGCTCTCCAAGTTATAGGTAATTGAACAATAAGAGCGTGCTTTGTGAGAGCAGGGGCTTGTAGTTTTATACTACAAGACCTGGATCGCCCTATAACAATCCCACAAGGAATACAAGACTGCATTCCTTATATCAGTATGAGTCCTATAAACGAGCAAACACAAGAGTCCTCAATATACCAATATGATTGGATTAACTCTTATCAACATGATTTAGACTTCTTTATAATATCAATTATCCCAAGACTTGTAAGAATCATACTCATACTCTTACAACTCTTACACGAGGTGAGTTACAACAAAGTCGAGTGTTATGGATGACACAGTCGGGCACCGATTTGATCACTCTTAAGACACAATCACATCACCAATAAGAGTGTATTTAGTTTTGATTGTCAATTCAAAGAAATATACAATTTATTTCATCTTAGGAGAAGAAATTGTGCTCTTGACCTAATCTTAATTGTTTAGTGTCTAAAATTTTGGATTTGGAATTTGGAATTTTGGCTTTGCAAACAAATATTTCCAAGATCTCGAGTGAAAGTGTTCAATGACACAAAGTTGATGGTTCCATTTACCATATCATACATAATAGGCATCCAAAAAAAAGTTAAAATGTGATGCAGAAGAGAGAATTTTCTTGGAACATGAAATCAGTGGAAGTCTATTTTTTCTTTGAGTAAAGTACAAAAAACTACCTCAACTAGTGTCACGACATTTTCATACCTTATCTTTTAAAATTGACAATGTCATACCTCATCTTTAGAATTTGTGTCAATGTTATACCTTTCGTTTGCTTGGCCGTTTATTTTTTAGTTAAATGCTGACGTGACTTGATCCGGAACCTATTTTTTATTAAAAAATTATTAAAAACAAAAAACAATCATTTTATATTATTTAAATATTAAAATAATAAAAAAAAATACATAAAAAAAACCTCTCCTTTCATCCCTCTCCCCTCTCTCTCTTCCCTATCTTCCTCCAACCCAGAAAGAAGAAGAAGAGAAAAAAAAAAAAAAAAAAAACCCCAAACCAATCCCAGTTTGTCCCCCCTCGCCCCACCACAAACCTAACCCCCTGCAACCCAGAAAGAAGGAGGAGGAAGAAGAAGAAAAAAAAAATTAAAAAAAAAAAATCCCAACCCAACCCGAAGGAGGAAGAAGAAGAAGAAGAAGAAGAAGAAGAGGAAGGAAAAAAAAAAATATATATATATATATATAGGAAACCCAGTTCGTCCTCCCTCCCACCCCCACCCTGCAAAAGAAGAACAAGAAGAACAAGAAGAAGAAGAGAGAAGGAAAAAAAATAAAAACCCAGTTTGTCCGTCCCCCCCCGCACCCACCCCACACCCATTCCCCCCCCTCCCCCCCAATTTTCTCCGCGCCCAGGTTCTCAACCTTTGGAATCGGGCTGGCGAAGGTTTCCCAATTCCACCTCAACGGGATCTGGGTTTTTTTTTTTTTTTGGGTTGCAGGTAGTGGGTGTGAGGTTGGGTGCAGAGGGTGGGTGCGAAGGTGGGGAGGTTGGGTGCGGGGAGAAGTGAGGGTGGGGAACAGGGAAAACAAATTGGTTTTTTTTTTTTCTCTTCTTTTTTTCTGGGTTGCAGTTGCAGAAAAAGGGAAGAAGATGAAGATGGGGAGAAGAGAGAGAAGGGGGAGAAGGGACGAACTGATGTTGGTTTTTTTTTTTTTTTTTTTTTTTTTTTTTTAACTTTTGTTTATTATTTTAATATTTAAAAAATATTAAATGATTTTTTTTTAGTTTTTTAATAATTTTTTAATAAAAAAATGGGTCCCGGATTAAGTCACATCAGCATTTAACTGAGAAATTCACACCTAGCTAACGGAAGGTATAACATTGACACAAATTCGTAAGATGAGGTATGACATTGTCAATTTTAAAAGATGAAGTATGAAAATATCGTGACACCAATAGTTAAAGTAGTTTTTTATACTTTACCATTTTCCTTTTCTCCTCCCAAGACTTAGCCTAGTTTAGAAAGGAAATGGCCACATTTTGTATTCCCTTGTCAATTCAACAAGAAAGGATAAGTCATTTTCTAAGTGCGTGGCTTGCACAGGGTGTGTGGTGAGCAAGCCAAATTAAGGGTCCACAACTTTCATAGCAATCGCATCCATATTTTGTGAGTGGGTGATTTTTATACGTTTCTTAATTTTTAATTATCGAATCGAATTAATTGAAGATAATTAAAGAACAAAAATTAATAATTTATGTGTTAAAAGTACAAATAGTGTGTAGATAGCACCGCTATGTAATAAAAATAGAAACATTTTGATGATAATACCTTTTTAATATTCGATTCACCAGCATCAATCCAAAGAAAAGTGAATCAAAAGATAAAGATGAAGGTGTTTATGAACTTACCATAGGCAAATGTACGAAGCACATGAACAACCCGACGTAAGTAGAGTGTAAATTAACCAAGTCTTTGTATAGCGTAATAACATTGGTCTAATTTTTCTTCATTCAAAACGATGCTTTAGGTGTTTCTGACTATGAAAGTGAGTTTCAAAGACTATTGTGAAAAAATAAAATAAAATAATTGTTTTATTTAAACACAAAAAAACAATACGTCTAAATGATGTGGAGTTCTGAGTATATTAAATAGCGCGTCGGCAATTGTGTTAATTTTGTACACTTACTCAAAATAATATTACTCCTACTGTAACTTGACCCTCAATTGTTTTTTTCTACGTCTTAGGTGATGAGCTTGTCAAAATTTTTAGATACAATTTAGTAGTTTACTATCAATCAATATCGATATTATTGTGGGTGTAAATTTCTGTTTTCTTCTTCTTGGACGAAAATGTATCTGCAAAACAATTAATACCTTTGGTTAAGGCCAAAAGCCTCAGACGCCCACGATGAATGGGGGCGCCCCAGGGGGGAGGTGGGGGGCTTTAGCCGAAGAACCTTTGATGCTAAAGTTAGAATTTGAGGGGAAAATGTTTAGAGAAATTTGGAGAATTTTGCGAGAGAGTTAGAATTAGGTTTTTGGAAGAAATGAGAGCTATTTATAGGGGTGTGGTCGGCCCCTATTTGGAGAAAATGGGTCCGGGCACTTATAGTGATTTTTGGGTGTAATGCAAGGTATTATGTCAAAATAATATCTTGCAATCAATTAGGAAATTATTCAATTAATTTAGGTAATTAATCATATTTTGAATGAATAATTGAAGGTTACCTTGTGAGGAGGATTTGATGAGATGAATGAAATATATTTTGAATAAATACCTATTTTGATCACTTTTGACCTTGATTGAGTCATGATTGTCCGCTGCTTGCGTGTAAGAGTTCCGGTGTGTCTACGGAGTTCGAACCCACGTCATCAAAAAAGGACTCAACTCATTTCCATTCAGTATATGAGAGATTTAGCATACGCCTCTACAAGGCCTACTATTCATACTATGATTAACTTCATGTCCGCATGAAGATAATTTAGAAACTCATCACATATGAATATTACAACATTCATATGCAAAACATATTGTAGCAAATAACAAATAATTTTGAAAAATTGATCTCGAAACGTTCATATGCATTATTATTAAGATATTCCAACTTGAAAGAGAAGTATTAATTATTGTACAAGAATTAGCCTCCCATTTACTTCACCCAAAACCTCCTCTTCTTCGGAACTGTTACAACCAGTTTTTCCCCAGTACACGTAGTCCTGGCCAACTCCGGTCTCGTCGAAGCCGGCAGCCGATACCTCCAGAGATCAAGATCGTCCACTACTCCTCCGTCCAACCACCACAAATCACCACCGTCCGTTTTCCTTATCACAGTCTTTGTCACTCCGGAATAAATCTCTGTCGTGTGAGCCCGCACAGCAACGTGGTCCCCAGTTATTCGTTGGGTGGTGGGCGACGGCACATGCGTGGGCATGGAGACGGAGAAAATGAAAGAGTCAGAGGTTTCTTGGATGGAAACGTCGGCGTTTGAGTGGAAGGGGAGCTCGAGGACGCTGGCGAACAGGTGGGGGAGTCTCCGGAGCTTCTTTGGCGGCGTGGAAGAGGGGTGGACTTTCTTCTTCATGGGTTACTGGCTTTTTTTTATTTTTTGCAGCGAAGAAGATGAAGAAGAATTTGGATTCAAGTTTGTTCACAGTTCGCTTCTTGCAGCTCAATTGCAAGGGTAATAATTTATTGAGGGAATTTGCAGCAAGTTGTAAAAATTGGGCCCTAAAAATGCTCATGTTGTTGTAGATTAAACATAGAGCCCAAATGGATTGTTTGAATCCAATTTTTAGCTCACCAAAGAACCCTTAATATCACTTTCGTGGTTAAGAGAATTTACTCTTGTAATTGCATCTAAAATCTTATGATCGAATCATTTCGTTACCCGTTATTATTTGTATAAACAAAAACACGTACAAGTTTTTTTTTTTATCAATCTTAGTTACAAGTTATCTCTCCATCCAAATTTTGTCCAATTTTATCCATCCAAAATAGTGAAAGTCATTTAAAAGTATTTAAACTTGGTTAAGCCACTTTGTATTACAATAGAGTGGTATTTCTTTTTATTTGCAAGTATTTCTTTTTATTTGCAAGTGAGAGATCTTGGTATTTCTTTTTATTTGTAAGTGAGAGATCCTAGGTTCAATTCTCGCAAAGGTGAATTTTAACTACATTAACGCTAGCTCATTGTGAGACTTAGTCTACTCTCCCACCCCCTTAGTATAAATAATATCGTTTATTCTGAAAAATAAGAACACCTTGGTAACCTTTAAACCATTCTTGAATTAAAGTATTTGTTTTCAATTTGAATTTAAAATAACCACAAGGGTATTATTAAAACTTTATTTTAACTGTTTTTACCACATTAGTAAAATTGATATAAGACCAACACCATAGAAAAAAATGGACAGAGATTGTACCAAAGATCGGTTTAAGGGACACTATATTTAATTTAAAAAAAAAGAAGAAGATATTTAAAAGGAACATGTCTTGTTTGTCACCTACAACTACTATTAACTGCAAAAGGAATTATGAAAAGATTACGAGGAAAACTAACGAAAAGTTTAAAAAAATTTTAGTTTTTATGAGAAAAGACAAATAAAGATGTAGTAAATAGTACCATGAAAAGGTAAAAACGTAATTTTTCGTTAAAAGTGAATAGTACCGAACATGTTTCGTTAAAATTTCCAAGATTATGACATCTTTTGTTTACACTTTATTAAAATGGACCCGAAGTTAAAATTTAATTTAATTTGTCTAAACCTTGAAGTGTGTGTTTCTGAGTGTTCTAGGCAGAGGTAATTTGCCTTTTATCACCCTGTTGACCTCAAAACTAGAACAGTTGTGCCCTCGTTTGGGGGTGACATGATTGACTTTTCACTCTCTGAAGTAAAGGTGTCGTATAATGCGTGCCAATTGGCAATGGAATATAAAAAAATGGAGAAGTGGGGTATCGATCCCCATACCTCTCGCATGCTAAGCGAGCGCTCTACCATCTGAGCTACATCCCCGTTTTAATTATTGTATCACATTTATAATTATTCAAAGGGTAACTGTGGTAATTTAGGAATATCTTCTTGGGAGCTTTCCACTTTTGAAACCCACCCACCGAAGCAAGGATTCCCCGCACAAAGATTGTCTGCCCTCCCACTTCTGTTTGTGTGGTCACGATTAAGTCACGTCAACATTTTATATTACTATTCATTTTTATCTTATTATCTCTATAAAAAAACAATATAAAATGTTGACGTAACTTAACCGTGACCACACAAAACAGGAAGATACGGAAAGACACCGAAAGTGGGAGAGTAAACAATCTTTGTCGAAGATTCCCACTTTGGGATTTTATTGGTTGGGAAAAAGAGAAAACCCCAAATCTGCTTTTGCTTTTCGCTACTAACGGGTCTAAGTTGATTTCCCTTTCTTTAACTGTTCAGATGTTTCAGTTCATTAAGTTTTCAAAGTGTAAAAGCACATACTAGTGCTTGGATGCGGTTTTCCAATTGGACAATATTTTTTAATTTTCTATTTTTCTTAGTCCATGCATATTTTTGTTCATCTTACGCACACTAAAAAAAAAAAAAAAAAAAAATCCATCTTGGTCTAATTTTAAAATATTACATTACAAACACTAAATTAAAACGCTAAGCTGACGCTAAACTTTTTATACATAAGTTGTATTCTTATTGAAAAAATGTTAAAGAGAAAAAGAATGTGGAAACTACAATTTTTGTTATTGGAAGTGTTATTGGCACTCCAAAAATCTCGTTTTATACTCTTCATAAGTCTATTTTTCTTTTTAAATATAGAAAATTTGATGTGTAAAATGAAAATTTTAAAGTACCAATAACAATTCTCTTTTTTAATACGACAATATTGTAAAAGATTCCAAATTTAAATTAAATCATGCAGTATGATAAAAAAAAATTTAAAGTTATAATAGTGTAAAAGATTAAATTTATAATTTAATAATAAAATAGATACTACTAAAGTTGGAGAGCAAAATGCCTTCAATCGTGACATTATGTGACCGACCCGAAAAAAAAAAGCAACTTTACCTTCAAACACAAGTTTGACAAGACATCAACTACGACACTTTCATTTTTTACATAAACACATATTTCGAACCATCAATCTGTCAAGAATGACGTAATAAGACCGATGGAACAATAAAAAAACAAAAACAAAACTAATTTTAGCGACAAATCTTTTCTCCTCTAGTCAATTGTGGAATGAGATTCTTTTCGAATTATTTTTGTGAGGATTTCAGAAATTCTTAAATTGTGTTTGGATTCGAAAATACGTAATGATCCGAGGAAGAAGGTTTGGCTGGCCTTACACTGATTGATAATTGTCGGGTCAAGCTGGGAATTAGTAGGCCCTTCCTGCACTGCTGACTTTGATCGATGATATCTTATCGAAGAACCCGACGGCCGAGATGTCATCAAGTGAGGAGAAGGGAGGAGCCGCAACTCCTTTTGATCATCTCCTTCCATTGGAGATCAAAAAGAAGCAAATGAAAGGTTTTGAGTACAGATATGACTAACGCAAAATAGCTTTTGTGATATTCCAAAAGTTGTGTGCTATACACGCAACCCAAGCATGCCCAAATTACCATCATGCCCATGTTTAATGTTAATTTGTGGATTATTCAAGGGGATAATGGAACTCAGAAAGGTAATCTAGAAAGTCAAAAATACTAATTAAGAGAGTCATCGTCTATTTATTGTCAAACAGTCTCACATGTTATATTATTTCAAAATTAATTATTTAAAAGAGAAGTCAAGGAGATTAATCAATCATAAAATGACATAATGGGTAATGAAGATAGGTAACGAGGATATTTAACATATAATTTGAGAAATATTCTTGTGTCAAACTGTCTCACATGTTATATTCTAAGATCCGCCTTAGACATTTATAACCTTCGTTCGCATATAGTTCAATAAATGTTTTATGGTCAAACAGTCTTACATATATCCAAGAAATGTTTACTGTTCAATCCATCTATTTGTCAAACTCATCTCATTACTGCTTGTTGGGAGTTATTACGGAGGAATTGGATTAGCTAACCTTCACATGTCTATCGTGAAAATCATAGAGTGACTAATGGTAGAATTAGGCTTTGAGTTTGACATTGGTCTTCATGTATTTTATGTGCTTCCTTTGGTGGATACAATGATCTTTGAGGATGCAATTGGGTTTCCTCAAACCCGTTTTGTTAATAGTAACTAGCATATGAGCACATACAAAGTGTGTGAGAAAGTTTTTTATTTATGTGAAATTACATTTATGCCCCATATTTCTTATTCACATTATATTTTAATTAGAAGGTTAAACTGATAATTTCATAGGATTTTGATTAACAATGAGTGTTTTATTAATAATTAGTAGAGATTTTTTAAAACACTCATTAATAAAAATCTCTAGTTCGTGCGTGATAGACATGAAAAATGCATTAATAAGAATAACGCAATTTAAAATAAATGGTCTGAATTTCTGAATTCGTTTTATCTAGATGCAGAGATCCGAAAAGAATTACAATTCAGAGGTGAGGAGGAAAGGGCGTGTAATAATTACAGTCGCACGTGCGTTTAGGTTTTGGGATGGCCTTATTTTTTTCCTTACAATTTTTTTTTAATTTGTTTTTTGGACGTGGATTTATAAGCTTTATTGGGAGGCCCAAGGTTGTCGGCCCTCTTGTTCCAAAAAAGCAAACCACTTTCTATCTCGGCAGCTCACGCTTCGTGCAGATTGGCACGTGGGGATGGGCTCGCCCTCAAAGTGTGAACTGTGAGATGAGGACCATGATTGGGTCTCTGATCCTGCCACTTGAACCGTTGGATCATCGGGGTTGGATCACCGGGTTCCCCCTAAGAGACCTCTCTTATTGTAACGTGTGATTAGGAGGTTCACCGAAAAAATGGTGGGTACGCAGTTGAACGCACAACTTTGCTTTAGTTTAGTACTTTATGTGACCGACCCAAAAAGATGGACACGTGTAGGTTGCCAAAACCCACTACACAACAGGTCAAAAAGTCTCCAACAACTCTTTTTATTTATCTTTTAATTTTACTTTATCTTTTTGTCCCCGATATTTTTGCCAACCCATTCCATTGCATGACTTTCGTGGGTCCGAGCTTTTTGATTCATAATTATCCAGGTTCCCCAAAATGCCCTCATCACTCATCAGTTTTTATTGTGTTCTTAAAATTTGAAATCTCGAATTCAACCGTTTCCATACAATCAAATTTAAAACTCTCTTGTTCAAAAAAAAAAAAAGAAAGAAAAAAAAAGGAACCTCTCCATAGCCGAAATCAGTAAACAATACTACCAAAAATATTGGTTCGCTATAGCAAGGTCAAAATCAGCTAAAGTATTAGCTACAACACAAGTTTGACAAGACATCAACTACAACACTTTCATTTTTACATAAACACATGTTTCGAACCATCAATCTATCAAGAGTGACGTAATAAGACTGATAGGACAATAAAAAAAAACTATTGTTAGTGCCAAATCTTTGTTGCTCTAGTCAATTGTGGAATGAGATCCTCTTCCGATAATTTTTGTGAGGATTTCCGGATTATTAAATTATGTTCGTTAATTGTATATCATATGATTAATTTTCGTCATATACTATTCATATTTAATTTTAAATAAAATAATTTTTGACTGCACGATATTCGATGAACATACATGATTTGAAGATTCCCCAGGATCCTCATTCATCAATTATGCTTGAAGCTATGACATAAGTTCTAATTTTTTTTTTAACAAATGATATTATCTACACTAAAGAGAAAATGGTGGGTTAACCTCACAATAGACTAAGCATTAATGTAGTTCAAATTCAGTCTTGCCAAAAATCGAATTTAAAATATTTCACTTATTACTGTAGCAGAATACTACTATATTGTGGTACTAAATGGCTACGTAAGTCCCTATTTAAGATTTGCATAATCACACATGATTCTTGTTCGCCCAAAAGGGAAATTGCATAGGGTATAATAGTAAATACACAACTCGGCTTCCGTAAATCCAACGAAAACCAGACCCACTTGTTTAACTATGCTAATAAGACAGTTGTACGTACTGTACATTTCTTATATACAATACAAGAACTGTATATAGTCATTTCAGATTTGTGCTTTCTTTTTCTCTCCTTTTATCTTCTCTCTCCTCTCCGGGGCTCAATTCCCCACTTCATTCCGATCCCCAAAAAGTCGGTTTGCGAGAACCAGTAGCAGAGCAAAGAAGGAGAGGTGATTATTGCCTCTGGTCCAAGTGAGAATTTTCTCGCTCGATTTGGTAATTTTCCATCACTTTCTCGAGAAAATAATCATGGGTTTTCGTTTTGAATGTTTAATTTTCATGGGTTGTGTTTTTCGTGTTTTGGGTAATCGTTTTTACGCCGTTCTTGAATCTAATTTTCAGTTTTGATATTTTGATTTACAGAGAAATAGGTGATTTTTCTGATCTGAATCTGATCTGGATCTGGGTCTTCGATTGGACTGACTTTCCGTGCGATTATTACCGTAAATTTGTAAGCTTTGAGCATTTTGAGCTCTGGGGCTGAGTGGTAGAGGTGGATTTAGTCGTTTACTCTGAAAATCGGACTGACGCGGCCTAGTTATACTCGTTGACTCACTGAATCTTTGGTAATGGAGACTCTTCATGTTGTGGCGCAGCATAAGAACCAGTACTACAACCGGGGGAAGCCACACGGCCTGGGCAGAGTTGGCCCGTCGCCGTCCAAGGGCTTCCGAGGGATCAATTGCCGGACTTTCCAATCCGGGTCAGGTATGCTCCCTACCCCATCCAAGGCTTGCTCTACTCCTGTATCCAAACAGAGAGCATGCTCTGCTTCTCCTTCTCGTAGGATAACTGCACCTAGTCCAAACAAGACGCATACACCTAGTCCAGTTTCACAGTCTGATAGCAGGACACTGAGTAAAAGCACCCCAATTGCTATCGATGTCAAAAACTCGAAGAAAGGCGAGCACTTCAATGGAAGTTTTTCATTTTCCGAGCTCTGGGCGGGCCCGGCTTACTCCAACTCTCCCCCACCGAGTTCGTTGCCAATTCCCAAGTTTTCAATCCGTCCCAAGAGAACCGTGTCGCTCGAATTGCCCAAGTCGCCCGCTGACGTCGAAATGCACCACCCAATTGCCAAGTCTGCACCTGCATCCCCAACAAGGGAGCATGGTGGGTCTGCTGCTAGGGATCTCTTTGACAACGCTGACTCCGCGACCAAGACTCTGCGTCGCATTCTGAATCTCGATGTTGACGATGAATGAATGGCGGATGGAGCACTAGGCTCCTGTAAATAGGTTTAAATTGTTTATAGAATGAATAAATTGGTTGGTAGACTTGGTAGTCTTGGTTTGTGATGAGTGTGTTTAGTTTTCTGTGGTGGTGCTACAAGTTAAAGTCATGGTTGTGGTGGGTTAACGATCTCTGGATGTTGGATGTGGAGTTGGTATTGGGAGATGAATGGTTTGTTTGGAGAAATTAGCATGGTATGTGTAATACGGGATTTTCGACATGGATGGAACTGACCCAAATTTTTATGGAAGCGGAAGGAAATATTGGTAGGCTTGTACTTTCGAAGCGGATGGTTGTCTGCACTATTGAATGCGGGAGATGAACGTTGGGAAGAATTGGCATTGAATGTGTGATATGGGATTTTCGACATGGAACTTAACTGAAATTTTAAGGAAGCAGAGGGGAAATAGTGGTACAAGGCTTACTTTTGAAGCGGATGGTTCCCAGCAATCTGGAATGGGAGGGATTGTGCAACTTGTCATTACATATGAAAGCAGAGGGAAACTACATTAGACTTGAATGTTCCAATGTAATCCCCTCACAAGTTCGCTAATTCTTGTTAACCCTTTTAGAGTTAGGTTTAGATGTCTTGTTTCGTTTACTGCGTGTATACTGTAGAATGTGTAGTGATCTGTCCATACAGAACTCTGTAGGTTTCTATTGGTTTCGTTTTTCTTCTGCATCGCGTCTTTGCTTCCTTAGGATTTAGAGTTAGTGTCCTTATAAATAGTCTAACATTGGTTAGTCTCTTTGTTCCGTAGTACAGGATTGTCCGAATAGCTGCTTAGGTAATCTTCTTTCATTAAACTCTCTGCCTTTGTTGTTATAGCTTCGTTTGCCTTCATATTCAACGTAACGTTCTTTACTTCTGATAACAATCTAACCTCTTTAACTACACTCTTATCAAAGGGTGTTCCGCCCCCTCCACCATCTTTTCTGTTTTTTAAGAAAGAAAAGAGGGAAGGGGGAGCGATTGTTCATTCGTACTTCTGCTTCATTGCTTCTTCAGTCTTTAGGGTTGGTCAATCTGTGGTTCTGTCCTGTAAGATGTCCTGAGTTGTTCTTGTAAATGAATTGTGCCGGTCATGGTCTTCACATCGTTTTCATCCCTGGAGGTTGTTAATCTCGCCCTGCCATCAACAAGGTAATAAATCTGTTTTCCAGTTCCCCTTCATTGTTTTGTTTACCAACTATTCTCCTATAGTTTGTTTCAGTTGTAACTAATATCTTCTTAATGCGTGTGAAACAGGGTGCAAGTTGGGCAAGTTGGGAAAGTATTCCGGAGGTGTTTTTGTTAGCAGTTCATGATGTGGTCCTTTACGCGTATGATGGTTCCTTGGTGAAGGCAAATGCAGTTCCAGCATATCATCACTTGTGTTGAGGAATGGATGATGTGTGGAAAATCTCTCTGTCTTGTGTACTGGGGATTCCATCGATCGGACAATTGTCTTTGTCGGGTGGAGTATTGTAGCGTCGGACAAATATGTGGTCGCCATTTATATCGTCTACTTAAATTTCAATGTTGAGTTTGTTCTTCTGTTGTCTAATTTAAACTTGGATGCTAGCTTGTTTATCTTCGTCTTTCGGATCCGTACTTTAATTTTATGGAAGTTAACATTATTTATCTTTACAGTTTTTATGTTTGCGAATTATGTGCTTTGTTGTTTGAAAGCTTATAACTGTGCTCGCTGATTCGTACAGTTTCAAGGGTTTGAATCTGCGAGTTAGTGATGTTTTGTTGCTATGAGAATTTGAAACTTGACACTGTTCACAAAAAATTTCAGTCCGAATGACTGCCTTCTGAGAGATTTTGGCAGTCCTTCGGAGAGATTATTGGGTACGGCTGCCAGTGTCACAACCCGCTGCTTTCGAGTCCCATACAGACATTTTGCTGGACTCGACATGAGGGTCGTCCAACTGGCAAATTGTGAAAATTCACCCATTTAGTTAAACAGTCTCGCAACTCTAATTGTGCAATGTGCAAACCGGTTCGTACACAATTGCGGAGGTTGTCAAGTTAAACAAGATATTTCCAAAACGGATTTTCGTTTGAGCATCTCCTACGAACCAAGCTATTGGTGCTCTTTCCATGGTTGATTTGTCTTATCAACGGAGTATTCGAGTATTCGGAAAGCGACTTATGTGAAACAGGAATGCTGAGGTGGGCGGTATCTTAAACATGTTATGTGTGTTCAATGTATGATGTGCGGCCACTTTAGAGTCTCGTTTCATGATAGTTTTTCAATAAGGGAGTGATGGCAGTACCCTTTCTATCATCATGCACACTTTTGTTTTTTATTATTTTTTGTCTTGGTTTATTGATCCAATCCAAGGTGTGAAGGAGAAAGCGTGTTTATCATTTCCCTTCTCGATAATTTGTATGCAATTTGCTTCTCTGAATTATTGCAATTGAGTGTTCTTTTCCTTTTCCTAGTTTTTTTCACTTCAATCACTGCTGCTCTGTGGTCCAATTTTTCACTGTGGTATAGGCGTGGAACGTGAACAGAAGAAAGGGATGAATGCCAAAGCCAAATTTGACAGACAGCCATCCTTTTTGTTCGATCCCTTTAAGCACCCCTTTGGCCTAAACTAGTCTTCTTTTACCTCTTCCCTCATCACATCTTCAAAGTGCTTTTGGCTTTTCTTGGTAAGCTGGCCTCATCATTAGCTTTGCTCACTCATGCGAAGAGATTCTGTCTTGCAACCGAGGACATACTCTACTTGTTTTTCTCTCTATTCTATACTTTCATCTCGTGATATTAGAGATAGATATAAGAAGATATTTTATCGAATACACTATAATCTCTTCATTTATACATCCGTCCTTAGCTTTGCTCATTTACACCGAGAATCTATTGTGTAACCTAACTACCTAAGATATACTGTATCGACCCACCATCCATCCACCATAAGTTTGTTGATACAAGGAGGATATATGTTCAGATGTACAAAGTAGTTTCTGTACTTATACATCCATCACAAGTTTTGCTTACTCACACAAGAACTTATATTGCTGCAACCAAAGATATACCTCTCATTTAATACATCACCACATGATCATAGACGACGGAAAAATATGATATCCCGGATACGCAGCAGAATCTCTCAATTTGTATACCATCATGGTATGATGGATGATGCAAGCAGAGAAGTTGGTAATGATAGGGCAAACTACTGTAATAAAAATGACAGTAAAAGTTTCTAATAAAAATGACAGTAAAAGTTTCGATATTTGGGACTACCTTCTGCAATTTGCATCACGGTTCTCAACTGCTACCGATATTTAATTGTACGGGCCATCGAGTAACGTATAATATTGGTCTGCAACTTTGGATCCATTTCTTCTCTATTTATTTTAACTTTATTCGATCAAAATGTCGCCACTTTTTAATTATTCTGATGTGTTTATTGGAGATGAGAGGACCTCATTGTTTAGAGTCTAAGGGTTAACGAATTTGACCATTCAAAAGAGAAAGAATATGGATTCTTAGTTTATGTGAAGTGAGCCATTAGAACGAGTTAACGGAAACTGCTAGTTTTAATTTAAGTAGTTCGAATTTTGCTGTCCTTGGCCTTTCAGACAATAAGATCGGAGGGGATCTCAAGTCTCAACTCTGTATATTGTACAGTTCAAAATATCATGATTGATTAGAAAAAACAAAAGTTTGGGCAGGTTTTGAGTCTTTCATCCAAAGCAGGTGGGGAGGAGAAAATTCTACATATAATCGGGACGTCGATATTACAAGTATATCACTCGATGTCAGGTAAACATGTTCAAATACATAACAACTCGTGATAGTTATGAGGAATTAGCATCTCGATTGCATGTAAGTTTCACTTAAACAGAAGAGTAGCAAAGACAAATCAAATAATTTATTAATTAAATAAAAATCAAAACTCTACAAACTCACAATATCTCATCCTCTCTTATTTCCATCTGCAGTGGAGAGGGTAAAAAAAGGCAAATACAAAACTTAAATAGCAAAACCTTACATTTTTGGTCTCTTTAATCAATCATTCAAGAACAACTCCTAAAAGAATCATCCAAGTTATGTGCTCCCAACTTCATCCAAGAGCATTTCTTGGTTGCGGCATTCTCGACTGCAAAAAGCCTTCTCACCTCTACACGAGACATTAAACGGACAATGAATCGTTATTTGAATAAAACAATCGAAAAAATGAGTTAAGGGTAGGATACACACAACGGCTATAAACGTTTAATCAAAAGTAGAATTAGAAACACTAAACAAACAGTAAGTTGTATATACACTTTTTGTGATTATTAAGAGCAGCATGCAATCCAATATCTTTTTCTTCAAACATGAAACTTCTAATAATTGACTAAGAACTTGTTTGAGACGTCTTTTAGAAGAGCTAAAAGTGTTTTTTGACAATCAAAGCACTTCTGATTACGCTAGACAGAAAAACTTATAACATCGTAGTAGGTCGTAGAAGTGTGTTCTAGGATATTCTTTTAAGAAAAAGCACATACAAGTGCTTTTAATAAAAAACTTACAAAAGCGCTTATGGACAGAAATACTTGCCACAAAAACAGTTTCAAAGTAATCATCTGAGTAAGAAAGGGGCCATTGAAACAAACCTGTAAATGTAGATGTCAATCTTCTGCTCAAGATTCTTCTTGCATGTGTAACAAAAGCTAAGAAAATTCTCAGAACAGGAGCTCGACTGATCTGACAAAGTATAGTAACTTTCCACAATGCAGTTTTCAAATATGTGAGTCGTTCTCGGATTCGCCCCACGAGAAATCACACAAGTGTAATCCTCAGAAAGCTCCATTTCACTTCTCTCACTCACACAACCACACCCTGAAGCCGAATTCGAACCCGAATTCAGGTTCTCTGTTTGGGTGCCTGAGTTAAAAGACCCAGTTTCTGAAAACTGGGAACTCTCAGTCTTGGGGATTTGAACTCTGAGCTTAGTGCCAAACAGGACCTTACGGCTACTGGGTTTTGAATTTTTGTCTTCAAAGTTTTCATCTTTTAGTGTTTGAAGCATAGCAAGGCCAATGCCCTTGGCCTCAGATTTTTCCCATAAGGGTTTGTTTCCGGATTGAGTTTTTGGGGTTCTGGGTTGGATTTGATCACCCGAAAACGGGCTTTTTCCGAAAGCAAATGGCTTGGTAGCGTCAAGAATTGAAGTTGGGCTGATAAAATTTGGATCGTTTTCAGAACTGCCCTTTATTGTGAAGGCTCTGAACCTTGGAGAATCGAAAAAAGATGGGATGTTTGAGTAGTTCCTTTGAGTTGGAGATGGTTGAGAATCCGCCATCAGAGGTTGCTTGCTGGTCACTGCTCTGGATCTGTTCCTCAGCATTACTTTGCTCTATAGCAAATGATCAAATTAATCACCATAAAACAGGGAAAAAAAAAAAAAAATTAATCCGAGATATGCATGAGAGATGGTAACAATATTCGAAAAGCAGTATTTGGGAACTTACCCTAATAGTCAGGCTATGGAGCACCAAAGGTAGAGCAAAATTAATCCAAGATTGCCATGAGAGATACTATAGCAACAACAAAGAAAATACATATGAGAACTTAGTACTTACTTCACTAGGTCAATAATTCGGCTATGAAACAAACGTCTGGCTCAAAAATCACTTTGAATTTGAAAAGTAGAGTAAATTAAAGGGATTTTTTTTTATTTTCAAGGAAGAAAAAGGAAGAAAGGGAAGAATCTCAGAGGAAAAAAATGTGAAATGGGTTTTTGCTAAATCTCAGTGGCCTCCATGGCTGAAAGCTTAAAAAAAATAAAAAACAAAAACAAATTGAAGTGGGGTTTTTTTTCAGTTGGAGTTAACTTTCTGGGGGATTGGAACAAAATTGGGACTCAAATTCCCATCATAACAAAGGGCATGCATGCCATGTGATCGGGGCAGGGAAATATAAGAAGAGAGCAGCTCTGCGATTTGCAGCACAAGAAGTTCTCTCTCTCTCTCAAAAAAAAAAAAAATTCACCTTTTGCTTAGTGGGTTTTGCATCCCATCCATCGACTTCACTTCCTCTTTATTCAGTTTTCAATTCCTGTGAAAAAAACATCAGGGCAGGAATTTTCAACTTGGCCAACAGAGAAAGTGAAAGATGAGAAGGGACCAGACCCCATGTTTTAAAGGGAAAGAGAAGGGTTGGGTTTAGTGAGCCTTTTCTCCTTTTAAAGAGTGAGAAACAAGATCTTCCAAAAAAAAAAAAAAAGAGTGAGAAACAAGATAAAATTTTTAGCTGGACTGGTCATGTCATTTATAAGACAATTATCTAAATATAAATGAGAGGTTGTAATCAATGGCGAGTTCATAATTTGAACATTGGGTGGTTCAGATTAAGGTACACTAGACGTTAGTCGAGGAGCGAGCTGACGCCTAGTGCCTATGCACCTAAATGAGGTCTAAACAGGGACTTAGGCATATTAGACAGATTTAATTAAATTTATTATATGCCATATAAATAAGCGTCTAAAACTATATTTGTATTGACAATTTGAGTTTATTATTTTAATTAGGTATATTATTTAACATATGGCATACTAAAATATCTTAATTTTTCCTTTAGTAGTGAATTTGATGGTCTGCAATGAAAGTTTAAGTGACTATAAGTTCATAATATGTTACGAAATATTTTTCAAACATTGTATGAATTTATAGTGAATTAAAAAACTAACAGTGTTAGACCTATGATATAAAAAGTATTATTTGAGTAGTATACCATATCTTTATTAATTAAATGCTAGGTGACACAATCTGATTGGACAATAATTAAAAAAACAAAAGAGAAAAATGAGGAGTTGGTCACATGAAAAATAGAGATAGAGTCTTTCTTCTACCAAGGTACAAGAACAGCAGAGCCATGTGGTTCTTCGTCTAAAATTAGATTTTTCTTCTTGGTTTAAAGTTTCTATTGCACAACATTTGCACATTCATAACGATCTTCTCTCTTAGCACATGCTTAAACCGTTGGATGGTCCTCGAAAGGTCCTCATAAACGATTCTTCGGGCTTTCGAGTGGTCCCGGGACCACCACATACATGAGTGAATCCACCTCTGGTTGTAATGGACATTTGCAAAATTGATGAAAGTCTTGAATTGGCCAATTATATCTAGTTCATCGGGGTAAAATAGCTAAAAAGATAGTTCATAAACGAAATTGACAATTAGGTTATAGGTTTGGAGTAATCCTCCGTATCTAGTTTAAGAATAATCAACAATAAAAGAAGTAACTTAGCATATAAAGCAAAATTCCTTAATCAACCAATGTAAGATTCAGGACTCTTACAGATTTCCTATATTTTAATATTTTATGTTTCACCGTTCGGATACGGTCCTCATAATAATAAAAAACTTAAAAATTACTTACGAATGACATGATCAAACTGCCACATGCCAATTTTTTCGAGAAACAAAAGGAGGCGTGTGCATGAGAAATTGTGGTTTTGACCACACAGCCTCAAAACCCAGAAATTCCATTTTTTTCTTCTTTTTAATAAGCTTCTTTTTGTAGTTTTCTGATATGATTAGCTTTCTCTCTAATAAAATAGGCATCCCATTTCTCAAACAGATAGAATTTTGTCTTTTGTAAACTCTTTGTGATTGTATTTTGTCGTGGCTGGCTTGGACTTTGTGTGAAAGTCTCTGTGTGGACTGTGCAATTAGGAACGCAGAAATGAACGCACGCACTCATAGGAAATGTTGAGCTCATCCCTACGTTTCTGATTCATTTTTTTCATATATATTCACCATGCAAAATTGTTATATATTTTATATTTTGGTAATTCCTATGCACAAATTATTGGTGCTATTTCTGGACTTGAGAAACAGTTAGTGTAATATCGGATATATCTTTTCTTATTACGTGATTAAAAACGTGATTACAACCTGTAAATCATGAGTATATCATTATTTTATTGGAAGAATTGCAATTAGCAAGGCGGAGTCAATTATAGGATTTTTAGGGATCCATTGCACGAAAAAAACTTTTTAAAACTTAGAGTTTGAAAAAGCTACTAACTGAATTATCATTCTACAGTTGGACACAACAGGATGGCACGCGGCTAAATACTTACTTCAACTCCAACAATCAACTACAAATTCATATTTCGAAAAATCTAAAACTTCGATTTAAAAAAAGCTATTGACTGAATTATCATCCAAGAGTTGTACAAAACAAAATAACACGCGGCTAAATACACTTTTCAACTCCAACTATCAACTATGCTTGGCTTTTCTTCTTCATTTCAAAATCATTCACCGAAATTAACTCGCTTCACTCAAATCTCTCCATCTAACTTTTTTCCTTAATCTCTCAAGCGGAACGATCGCTAGCACTTACCTACCAAATAAGGAAACTTAGACAATAACCACCAAGCTTTTATACTTTGCCCAATCAAAGAAAAAAAAAAGTTCTGAATTCGCCAACGACAATTAGTAGGTTTCGTTGTAAGACCAACCTGTTGTATGATAAAATCACTTCCACGACTCATCTTCTTGATTAACCTAGATTAGGTTAAAAATTGGGAGAATACCAAAACTTCATGAAGCAACAGTTGAAAAGATTTTTTTTTAGTACATCGATATTTTTTACACTAAGGGAGGGAGAGTTTGGCTAAGCTACACAATGAGCAGCCTAATTTGGTATTAAATTTGCCATCCACGAGATTCGAGCATAAGACCTCTCATCAGATCATAGTACTAAATAACAAAAGTTAAAATACTTTCAACAGAAGAAGCTTTATACATACGATAAAACTGAGCATATCACATGTGCTACATTACTTGTGTAGTACACACTTACTCTTCTTTGCACATAATTAGAAGAGTAATGTAAAGAGAACTCTCTCAAAGTGAGACTCTTTATGGACTCTCTACTACCTCATAGTTTAATGTCAATTATCGTGTCAACATTATAAACTATTGTGCCAAAAACATAAGGTGGCAGAAAGTCTCACTTTTAAGAGGGTCTCCATAGCATTTCTATAGTTAGAAATATTAATCCATTCATCCTTTAACGGATTTCGAATTTTGAGTTTAGTCTAAAATGTCCGGCCTTTCCCAGTACTATTTAAATGTCTTCAGTTATATGTTATATTTGAACAATTTAGCATTGGGACCCCAGAGTTTACAGAGTCTGGAACTTTCAGTTTACTCCAATAATTATCAAGTTTTTATGGAGGCCATGTCCTCGCAACATGAAAAAGTTGGTCCAGAATTAACATGGTAAATCTATCCTATTCTTGACTTGGGTTTTCCTACATTTTATTTCTTGATACAATATTTAAAAAATTAGAAGGTGCGTTTTATAATTATCTCGTTTTTAATTTTTGTTTTGATAAATAGAAGGAAAATACATAGAAAATGATGGATGAAGAATATTGAATGAAGAATTTTGGGAGAGCGGTGGAAGAGCTGTATAAGAAAAAAATACAGTGAAAATTAAAACAAAAAATAAAAAAATATTAGATTTTATTTTCAACCATTCCTCTTTGTTTCTTCCTATCCCTCTCATTACCTTCTTCACCTATCATTTCCCCTCATATTTTTTTATATTTTTTTTAGTCACAAGCACGTATAAAAAGTAAAAACAAAAAAAGTTCTCAAACGAGCTAAATTGATTAGGTTCATCTACTTTGCCGTATTTTTTATGTTTCTGTATCATATCTGAGTAAGCATTCGTGTAATTCACCCCACTTTTTCCTTGACTGAGAGATCAAATCTTAGAGAAGTTATACAATTATATTTTTATATACAACGATGCTCTTTTCTATAAGGATTTTTAACGAAAAGCTCTCGATACTGTTTATTTTGATGAAAAATCACATTTTACACTAAAAAGTCAATCCTGGTATTATTCACTTTATCCTTTATTTTGTCTTATCGCTAAAACTCAAAATTTTCAATCAATTTTTATTAGTTTTCCTTTTTCTAAATGAGTTTTTCGACAAAGCGATACCAGAGAGACAACGTTAATTATACTTGTCATTTCCATTTCGGTTTTAGTTTCAGAACCGCATCAAACCAAATTGCAAGAATTTTTTTATTTTAGTTTCATTCAAAATCACATCGAATTCAACCATGCCTACCCCTTGTGTCAATTCCGAAGAGGGGTGGGGCCTCTGGGTTGGCCCAATTATGTGATTAGGGTTTGTGGGGATTGCTTGTTTGTTAGCTCTCGAATAAGTGACTAGTGGGGCCCTTCAAAAATTAAAATGGGCGTGGCTAGAGTGAGTGGGTGGGCTCATTGAGAGTAACGGGTAGCGAGAAAAATTTCGATTCTTTCTTTCGCACCGGAGGAGACGTACAAACCGATCCCAACTCCTTTGCCGTTGGTTACGTAAACCTGTGGGGGCCTTTGACAAAAGAAACATAAAAAACTGTGGGAGCCGTTTTGTTTTTTTCAAATGCAAAGGTTTTGAGGTGAGCGATTGGCTATAGAACATACGAGGTGAACGATAATTCGGTATCGAATTGGTATTCGTAATATTTAAATTGAAGATATCTTATTTGCAAGTAAAGATGATTCATCTTGCATTGGTTTTCCAATACGATAACAGCCTTGCCAATTACCAACTTGCCATCGTCCTCGTTGGCAATAGAGGTGGACTAGGCGAACTTGTCAAAAGTGATCATATCATCGCCTAGTGCATCTCTATAGTTGTTATCATTATTGGTGGTAGAGATGCAATAAGCGACCATGACGGATGCGCTCATATCATCATCGAAAAACTATTGCTGAATATCACTAGATTATAATGTTAATAATGTTAGACTTGATTTTTAACTCTACTCAAAAATCAATCTGGATGTGTATCGTGAACCCCACTATGGACCCGGGTCGAACACTTAGGCCTAAGTTGTAGGTTCAGTCAAAATGTGGGCTCTATAGTGATACAGGACTGCACTCTGTACTTTCTAACTCAAGAGAAGGTGATGATATATGTAACGAAGAAATGGGAAACAAAATCATTACTAATTGTATAAGTGGCTTTAATAATTTGCTTTTCTTAACAGCTCAGATTTTTACCGAAATGACACAACAAATAGGAAAGCAAACAAAAGGTTGTTTATGCTCAAATAGTTACATTCGAAAAAGAAAAAAAAAAAAAACTCAAAAGTGCTTTTAGAAAAAAAAAAA